TCAGGGGGCCTTTGGGGTCACAGTTCTTAATACCTGGGAGGAGGGAGACATCAACTTAAGTTCAGTATTATTTCTAGCATCTAGTACACACTCCCTGTGCCCCCATCCACCCCCAAATCCCAACACAAAACCTATACCCACTATTGTCCCAGCCTACTGACCTCTGTCTAGACAGCTGGCCAGCCCAACCACAGAGGAAGATCACGTTTCCAATAAATGTTTTAAACAAATACAAGATCAGCCTGAGCCTTTGGCATATACCCTGGCTACTCTCCAGTTACTTAGCTAGCATTGGTCCTCCAGATTAAAGCTTGTAAGCTTGTTTGATCCGTACCAGAAAAGCTACAGAACTCAAGTATTACAGTAGCTACCAAGCCGGGTACTTGGAGAATAAGATGGCTACGGGCATGCTGGAGCACTATGTGAAGAGATGCCTGGCAGTAAAGCAGCAGCTCATCGTACCTATGGCAGCCTCATCATCAGGGGGTCCCTCGTAGAGCAGCTCACAGCGGTACTTCTGGGCTGTGACGGGAGAAGGCAGGTGAATGGTGATCATCTGCAGCAGGGCATCTCCGGCAGGCAGCCACCGCCTCATCACAGCCTGAGCAGAGATCACAGGAGTAAGACCCAGTCAGATTGTTCACAGCCTGGTAGTTAAAAACCTTCCCTAGCGTCCCCAACCCCCCAAGCTGCCAACAGCACCTCCCCACCCAAGCAGGGTTTGTAGCTGCTTAGTAAGTTTACACAATTGGAGCAGCACAACTATCTGTCTCCTTCCCACAGACATTTCTGACCCATCTCACCTTCAGCAGCGGTTTGCCCTCCTTGTCCTTATCTTCACTGTCAAGCTTAATGTCCAGTTTCTCAATCAGTTTAGCTGCCTCCTCCTTCTTGAAGTTCATGATTGCATCGAAAACCTGGAACAGCAGCAGCAGTCATAAATGTTGCTGGTGACCCAGTTTGAAGCAGCAGCACAAAAATCTCTAAAGAGAATCTCTGATCGCCCAGCTGAATCTCTTTGGAGGCTCAGACACATATTTGCCTGCACACTATCTGCTCCCAGCTTTCCTGCTCACACAGAGTAATGAGATGTGTCAGACATTTATATTTCTTCAGTCAGACAAGTCAGGTCAAAGTGAAGAAATTTTCCATCATCACGCACTGCAACTGAACCAGAGAGCATAGGGCACCAGGAAGGGCTGAACACTAAGGAACTCACCTTGAAGATGGGGTCAAGGATGAGCTGGCAGAAGGTCCTGGGCAGTTTCTTTCCATCAGGGCTGGTAGCAGATTTGCTGAACTTGCCAGTAGCAGGATCAAAATACCTGGAGAAAGAATCAAGTCAGACAAGTATCAATGCTCAGCTGCAGAAGCATGGCTTGTTCTGCTTGCTCAGGCCAAAGGATAGAGCTGCTGAGTAAGAACTGTATTCATACCTTCCCCCGTAACTCTCAGGCTTTCAGAGCTCACCAAAATGCATTTAACTTATGTTGCCAACTCACTGTCCCCTCCCCATTTATCTGTGTTTTCTACTCTGCAGAGATTTCACGGAAAATCATTCTTTTGCTAGCACATGCACCAGGTCACTGAGACAGGGCCGTACGCAGGCACAACCACATCCTCCCATCTTCTGCAGCATCAGGTTGCAGCCACACAGAGCTGCTCTGGGATTAAAATGAACAGCCGGGACTCCTCACCTGTCTCCCCACAGCTTCTTCATCATGTCTTCTACTTTCTTGGCACGCTCAGATGGATTCAGCTGGGCATCACCCTTGGCAGCAAACTTTGCAACATACATTTCAGCAAACTGTTTCAGAGTGAAAGCCCAGCCGTGCAGGCCAGAACCAAAGCCAACAGTACCAAGCACTGGATCAATCTGAAAGGGAACAGGAGCTGTGTTACAGAGGAGCAGGCACAGCTCTTAACAGTCACGGAGCATTACAGCAGTCAACCTACTCTATCCCAAACAGTGCTCAAGTACAAAAAGAGTTTGAAGATGGAGCTTCAGGACTATGGGACCCTTGAGTAGTTCTGGTTCAGCCGCCATCTCCAAGGCCTGGGGACAGCCTGACCACACTCCCAGCATTTTAGCTTTGTACTGCAGAACTGAATTGTTTCTTTCATCACTTTGACCAACGACATACTGAGACAGCTCAGTAGCTGCACAGATTTGTGTGCAGGCAAGATTCCTGTCCTTCATGGGAAGGATCAGCAACACATGAAAGCCTGGAGCGTGCAGGAGAGTGCTCAACGGAAACAAAGCACAAGCTTTTTCCCAGAGCTGACAGCCCTGCTCACTACCCACAAAACCAGTGGGGAGTGAAGCTCAGAGCACAGGGACTGGCAAACACCTACTGCTCTTCCATTTTGGAAGGGAGCTGGGGGAGGGATGCTGCGTAGGAGCCTAGGATCTCTTATCACCCGATATCACAGATGTGATGTGGGCAAGAAGGTGTCCTACAAAACAAGGGCACCCTCGGTAAAGACAGAAAATACTTTCTTTTATATACAGCCTTTATTTGCTCAAGCCTTGAGCCAACAGAAGATTTTGGAGAAAAGCTAGCTAGAGCTCCAAACCAGCACAAGCATCTTCGTTATCTTACTCTCACTTCTCCACTTGAGATAGGAAATGAAGACTAGGAGACAACTGCTCCCTCTCACTACAGGGAATTATTATTTCAAATGCAGCATTTGCAGCCTCTCACTTACCATGATATTTCCCATGGGGCCACTTTCTCCTTCTCCATACGTGGAGATAATGACGTTCACGTTTTCCACAATGCGCTGGAAGGTCTGGTACAGCTCTTCTGGCTCCAGCTGCAGCTCCAGCAGCGCTCGGTCCATCTTGTTCATCATCAGGACAGGCTTGATCCTCTCAGCAATGGCCTGACGCAGCACAGTCTCTGTCTGCACGCACACGCCTGCCAAACACAGGGGAATTAGTTATCCTCATCTTCAAACTCACCCAACATATGCCCCTGTTGCATACGGCTGCAAAAAACCTTACCAGAGACACAGTCTACAACAACCAGGGCGCCGTCAGTGACACGAAGAGCAGCAGTGACCTCAGAAGAGAAGTCCACATGCCCAGGAGAGTCAATCAAGTTGATCAAGAAACCAGAACCATCCTTGCTCTGCTTGATGAAGGCCAAATCATTTTCAGAGAGTTCATAAAATAGGGAAATAGCTCTGAAATAAAAGGAAAAATATTGAAATTATTTGTTACCCTTTCCCAGTGCTTAGAAACAGCCCTTTATCCTGCAAAGACAGCTGTGCCTGGGCTTAAAGGTTTCCTGAAGCATATTCCTTGGAGGCCAGTGTGGGAGATAACCAGAAGCACAGGCTAAAATCTGTCCTCTTCAAACTCTGTGCAATTTAAAGTGCCCCAAAAGGGTTCAATTTCTTTCAGTCGAGGATTTATGCTTTTTCTATTAGGCCCAACCACCTTTTGGATCCCCTTTCATGCCCCTCAGGTTCCCCAAACCACCTATGGTGGCACAGCAGCCAGGTATGTTGCCAGAGACGCTCCCAGGACAGTCTCCACACCGCATCCGCAGGACTCCAGCAGACGTCGGCCACATCCAACAGTCCCAGTGCTAAAATGAAAGGCTGAAGCTCCTGCTGCACGTTTATTTCTCAGTGGCCACCAAGACAGCGCTCTAGGATTCACCAGAAGCCAATCAATACTTGCTCTTTCACTTAAGCAATCCTCATGAGCAAGAGATGAGCTTCTGAACTAGAGAAAGCCTGACACCTTCTTCTTTCATCGCACAACCAGTGGAGGACTCAAAGCCCCCCTGGGCTCAGACCATGCAGCGGGAGGGAACTCACGTTGATTTGATGGTGATGCACCGTTCCTGCTCATCCTTCCTTGTGTCGGTGAAACGGGTCTCCCCCGCACGGGCAGAGGCGATGATACCAGCTTTGCATACCAGAGAATCAGTCAAGGTTGATTTGCCATGATCAACGTGGGCAATCACAGACATGTTTCTGATGTTGGCCTTTTTGTCCATGATGGCCCGTATCTGATCTACTGTGAAGTTCACCTTGAAGAGTGAGAGGTGGGAGGTGAAGATAAAAACACAGGGTAGATGGAAACGGGAATTTTAGGAAGCCTAACCAACACCACAAATAGCTGCCATAGTCATGCCAACCTCAATTCTGCCAGGACAGCCTATGTTACATGACAACCCGAAGCAAGGGCAGAGCAGACACTGGTGTCTCAAGCAGAGGGGCCCGGGCCCACAGCGCAGGCACCTAGCGCTCCCTCCCTGGCTCAGGGTCCCACAAACCACGGCAGCGGTTCCTCGAGACAAATCTCCGTTAAAACCAAACTCTCCTTCGGTCGCTGCTCCGCGACGGGCGGCTGACAGCCCGGCTGAACGGTACGACCGTCCCCGCCCGGCCCGCAGCGTTACATAAGGCAGCCGGCGGCCACCGCAAAGCCTCGTCCCCGGTGTCAACACCGCCCCGGTGCCACATCACCGCCGCCATCGCTCCCCCCTCCCCAAAGGGGAGGCGGAACACCACCGGAGCCCCGGCACCGGGAGAACTGACACAAGCCCCCGGGGCAACCGAGCCCTACGCACTGGGCAAGGACCCCGAGTCTCCCCGGGGACAGCCCCACCCCGCGCCCCGGCGCGCTTTCCAGCCCCACCCCTCTCCCCTCAGCCCAGCGCGACAGGCCGCTGCCGCCGCCCCCCTCCCTCTCCCCCCCCCCCCGGCCCTCCCGGCGCCGCCATTCCCACCGACGCGGCGAGCGCGGTGCCCGCTCATCCTCCCCAGGGCGGCGACAAGCCGCAGGGCCTCACCATGGTGGCGGATGGCGCTGGATTCTCCGGGGCGGGGGGGGGGTTACAGCAATGGCGGCGGCAGCGGCCCTGTCTCGCTGGCGAGCGCAGAGCGGGCGGAAGAGAACGCTGACGTCAACCGCCCCCTTCTTATACGGCGGCGCCGGCCGGGGGGGCGGAACCTGCGCACCCGGCAGCCAAGGCGCATGCGCCGCCGCGCCTCTCTGGCCCGCAGCGGGCGGTAGGCTCTATGGTTGGGAGGGCGATTCCGCCGGGGCGGGACCACGTGGCCGCTCACCGGGGGAGCGGGGACCGGCCGCTCCCGGCTCCGCCCGGGCCGCAGCGGAGAGGAGAGTCCTCCCCCACCCGCTGCCGGTGACTCGGGTGGGAACCGTCCCAGGGGACCAGAATCGGTTCGGCCACTGCGGGCGGTGATCCCCGCCGGAGCGGTGAGGGCCCTCCGCCGCCGGCCCCTCCGGAGCGGCGGGCGAGCCCGGGGTCTCGGCTCTCAGGAAGAGGCGGTAGGGCACAGCCCGGTGCGGACCCCGACCCGGGCACCACCGGCCACCGCTGGGCCCCGCCCGGCCCCTCCCCGCCGGCTGCCGCTGCCCCGCAGAGCCCCCGCGCTGCGCATGCGCCGAGCGGCGCGGGAGTAAGGGGTGGGGGGTCCGGGGGCGCCGGCGCTGCAGCGCCCCCTGCGGGCGGGGAGGAGCGCGGGGGGGGGGGGGGGGAAAGGGGCCCGATCCTGGCTGAGCTGCCGGCACCCCCCGGGCAGCGACGGAGCTCAGGCGTCCCCCAATGCCCTCAGCCCCCCCTGCACCGGGTCCCGGGGGCACACGGTGCTGCACCGGGAACGGGGCTTCACCCTGCAGCCCCCCGGGGCTGATGGGCTCCAGCTGGGACCCTGGGGGGGCCATCGAGGTCCCTGTGGGAAACCCAGCAGTCCCTTCTCCATGGGCAGAGGCGTTGACTCCTCGTGCTCCAGCGGAGCCGAGTCTGGGATGGTGTGGTCGAGGGATGCGGGATGGCTGCGCAGTGCCGGGGAAGGCCCTGCGCGTGGTTTGGGGAGGATTCCCCCCCCGGCACAGCACGGAAAGGAAAAGCCAAACTCCCCTCGGTTTGTGCCACCGAGTTGGGAAGCTGAAGCCCTACACCGTGAAGAGCATCACCTGAGTTAAGAACAGACTAAAGGGAGGTTACACGCATGGGCAAGGAAAGAGGGACTCCAGGCAGAGGGGAATGCAACTCCCTATCCCCACAGCATAAATATTTTACTGCTTTTTCGTACTCTCCAGCATCATGGGAGGCCGTCGCTCCATTTCCCTCAGCTGCGGTGTAAGAAAGCTCACACAAATCCAAGCCATTCGATCCCCATGCCACCTTGCCCAGCAGCTACAATTGCTGCCAAATTCCCAGCACAACCCCAGCCCATCTCTCCCCTCCACCAGTCACAGGCAGGGACCGGCAGGATGGAGGTGAAGCTACACCCAGGATGGATTTGGCCCCCTGCTCTGCCAGTGTGGCAGGATGAGTTATCAGCTGTTGGTGTTTCCATAGCAATCATTTGAATTTTTAGCACCAATAGTGGCTTTTGCTAGACTGGAAGGGAACACTGGGGAGCCTGATTAACATATTGGCCTGCCTAGGAAGCAGACTAATTGCCTTTTTGTTTAATTAGCTTGTGGGGTTGATGACAAGAAGGGAAAATGCCGGAAAACCTCTCCCAGTGCAGCATTTCACCCCAGCTACTGGGATTACCTCCTGGTAACAACCTGGAGCTGGAGAGGACACTGCTGTGCACTTGCTTCTTAAAAATGGAGCAACCAGACCCCAGGAGGAACAGTATCGGGTGTAGGAGGAATAATTTCTATTTACGTAGAAGGTATTTTTAATAAGTGATGGGTTACTGGAGAGAACATCTCCTCTCCAAGCACCCACAGGGGGCATAATCGCTGACCTGTGCAGGAGGGCAGGGAGATCTCTGCGGTGCCATCGCCACGGAGCAGGTCCGGTTTGGCTGCGAGGCGCCACATGTGCCTTGGCGGGGGACGTGTCTGAGGGGAAGGCATGGCAGCAGGCTCTCGAGGCCCCTGAAGCAGAGGCGCGGGGGTGAGCGCGTCCCTCACTAGCGGTCAGTGGGGCTGGCAGCTCCCAGGCCTGAGATCCAACAGGAAAAGCTGAGATTTGCAAGTTCAAGTGGAGGCTGCCGCAGGGTGAGGAGGAAGATGGTTAAGCTGGTGTCCTTTTGGTTTCTTGGATGAAGGCACAGACACAGAAGTGCTGTTTTCTTGTTTTTTTTTTTTTTTTTTTCTCAAGAGCGTTTTCTCTCCAGAAAAGCCGACAACAGCCACCTACTCTTCAAAAGCATTTCCCAGCGAAACCACAAGTGATTGGAGCTGGTGCTCCCTGGTTTCAGGACTAAACTGCCCCCAGGCATCGGTGCCAAAGACACCCCAGAACAAAACAAAGCACCCCGGTGTTCGGCCAGGAGCCGGGGCACAGTGGGAGCCGCTTCCCAGCCCTCCTTGCCCAGGGCCTGCAGCCTTGGCTGGGCTCCTTCGGCGTGCCCCCAGCGCTGCCCTCCTCAGCAGGGAGGATGAGCAGGGCCCTGCCACGCTGCGGGGCAGCGGAGGGACCGGCACAAAGAAGCGGGATCTCAGAACGAGCCCACTGGGCCGGCCCGGACCGACACCGGGCACGGTGGGGCCTGGCCTGGAGCATCCACCTGCCTCCATTTTGGGGGCACCACACACACCACTCCCGGGGGGCTGTGCCACCGCATGCCCGACTTGCTCTCAATCTTTTGCCTGCTTATACAGAACGTTTTCCAGACCCGCTCCTCCCAGACGCAAGCCCAATATCTACCGCTCTCCCCGACGCCCCGCGCCGTTTGCGGGGCGCTGTCCCTTTAAGCCGCCCGGGAAGGCGGTGCCGGGTGGGGCGGGGCCACTACGCCTGCGCGGTGAGGCCGCGGCCCGCGGGGTGGGGAGCGCGCGCGCGGATTGGGCGGTGCGTGCCGCCCGCGGCCCCTCCCACGTCGTGGGCGTCACGTGACTCGGCGGCGGCTCCCGGCGCGGTGGACGCTGGAGGCCAAGATGGCGGCGGAGCTGGTGGAGGCGAAAGTGAGTGAGCTGTCCCCCCCCACCCCGCCGGTGGGGCCGGGGCCGGGGCCGGGCAAGGCGGCACCCGGCGGAGGGACCGCGGGCGGGCGGGCGGCACGACCCCAGCCCTGGCCCCGGTCCTGGCGGTGAGAGTCGGGGGGGGCGGCGCCCCAGGACCGCCCCCCCCCCTCCCCCCCCCCCCCCTTTTACCTCAGGGGCTGCCCCGCCCCGGTCTCCAGGCCCGGCCGCAGCCCCCGCCGGACCCCGGGCCCGGCCCGCAGCCCCGGAGAGCCGCCCGCCCGTGGGCCAGCAGGCCGGGCCCCGGCCTCCTCCGCAGTTAATTCCCAGTGATTAATTAGCGCAGGTGGCTTCTCCCCACCGCCCGGCGGAGCTCCGTTCCCCGCTCCCCGCACTTCTCGCCTTCTCCTCACGGAGCCCCGGGCCAGTCGTCCCCGGTGCTCGGACGCCCTTCCGCGGCCTGCCCTGGGCTCCCTGACCGGTTTAGGGGCGCGGGTGCGCTCGGCCGCGCTGGGGAGCGGAGCGGAGCTGTCCAACCGGGCCCGGCGGGCTGAGGGCTCGGGAGCCATCGCAGCCACCCCGGCCTGGCTCTGCCGTGACGGGGGGGATGGCGATGGGACGAGCAGTACCCGGCGCTGGGAGTGTTGGGGCAGAGCCCACCGGCTCTCTGTGGTGGGGAGGCTTGGGGCAGCCTCTGAGGCTCCTCCACTGTGGGATGAGGTGAAACGTTTTCACGGCAAACGTGCTTGAAATTGCGCTGTGCTTCCAAGGTGTGTTGTGCACCCCATTGGGCCTTCTGCGGGAAAGGGTCCCCATTCGGCTGCGGGTTTCTCCCTTTTCCTCTGGGTCTCTGTTCGCTGGCACCTCTCTGGCAGCCGGACTTCTCCATGTCCCACTGTTGGTGTGTGGCAGTGCAGAGGACCGGCTGACGGCACTTGCGCGGGCTTTACCCAACAGTGTCATGGGGAAGCTGGTGCTGAGGGTGCTTACTGAGCAACGCCAATGGCTGGAAAGCGTTTAGTGCCTGCAGGATCAGCTCAGCAGTGAGGATGTGGCTAGATGGCTGCAAAAATACGATTTGGAAGATGCTTGTTTAAAGAGGCACTGCCCCTCTCGGTGTTGTGAGCTGTGCCCAGGACTCCCAACGAGGAGATGGGCTTCCAAGGTGTTGTGGTTGCCCCCATAGTGGATGCTTGATGGACTTCTTGCTGTACACATGCAAGGCTACCTCAGGGGAGGAATAGACTCAGTAACGGGTTTTCTTTGTCTGAAGCTTGTTCTTCTGTTGCTGCTCAAATCTGGTCATCCTTCGGGACCTTAAATCCTTCAAAATGTAAACTGCAGAAGACTGTCAGCTCAAACTCTGCTTTACACGCTGACGGTCCCAAGTGACTGGTGGTGTAGGAGCACTGAGTGCAGGAATACCTGTCTGCTCTGCTCCTGTGACTTCCCCGGTACCTCACCGTTGACATGTGTCACTGCTTTGATGTATTTATCTTTGCAAATATGCTGTTTATCCTCAAAGTGCTTCAGAGAGGACAATACGCTCTCCATTTTGTAGTTGAAGAAAACTGAGACACAGAAGCTAGCTTTCTGCAAGATCGCACAGGTGGTATCTAGTGAAGCAGCAGTATGAATCCAGATCTCTTAAATCCTGACTTTCTGGCAATTAAGCATCCTTTCTTTCTTCTTTAAAGTTATCTGCCTTTTTTTCCTCTCATCAAAGGTATTTTGGGACACATCATGACTGCCAAAAATTTTAACTACAGCCACTGATGTTTGTGTAACATCTTCTGGGCTTCCAGATTAAATGACAGATTTCATGAAAAAAGAGAAAAAGGAATGGCATTTTCTCTATAGTCTAATTCCCACTCATGCAAAAGAGGCTGTCAAATGTTTCTGGAGTCAGTAGTAGCTTTGTTAATTTAAAAAATAATAAAAATCTGTATCTGTTTTATTCTAGGAATTCACAAGGCTACTGTTAACTTCCACAGAAATCTGATTTATATGGGTTTTTTTTTGTTTTTTTTTTAATGTAATCCCCAGACAAGAGTGGATTATAGGCTATAGACCTGCTGGATCTCTACCTGGTTTTTTTTTTTTTTTTTAACTGTGAGACAGCTGGGATTTTTTCTTGAATTCCTGTGTTTTCCACAAACCAGGAAGGATACTGAGTGATTACATGTGGGTGCCTATCAAGTATATTTTCAGGGCAGCTTGAATTTTCAAAAACATGTACTTGATAAGCTTGTCTTGTGCATTCATAAGGCTGCTTTGTCACAAGAAGAGCTGAAACATCAATCTGACCAGACTCTAGCAGTAGTTTTAACAGAAATAATTTCTAGTTCTTAGTCTGACAGAAAGTTGTTGTATAGTATAGTATGATCTTTGAATCTGTTGACAGTTACAGGCCTTCTGAGTTTCCACAGCAGCAAGAGAGTAGACTTTTTTGAAGACAGAGATAGTTTATTACTGCTTATCAAAACACTGAAATTGATAATACCAGTGCAACAACAAAGGCAGCTACTGGCAGTGATCATGGGGGAGTGCTTGGCAAAGCACCCAAATAGAGTTTGGAGGCATTGTTCTCATGGGAACATACTGCTTTCTTTAATAATCCTTTAATATCTTTCCATAGTCTAAAATATATGATACTTTTTTAAAGATCCTCTATGTGTAGGAGGATTCTTGATTTTTTTTTTTTTTTTTTTACCTGTACAGATAATACACAGGTGCACTGAAATACAGTGTGAAAGGATTGGTGGCCCCAGTTCACTTAAATGTCATCTGCTTTCCAGTTCATGTTTGTTTTCTTCCTTTGCCTTACACCAATGCTATTTTAGATGAAGTTTTTAATGTAGCTCTCTCATCCAAAGGTGCCTGGGAAGTTGGGATGCTTTGAGCCTCAGTGGCAGAGGAGTTGATGTATTCTTTCATGTGTGGGGCCTGCTGTTTGAGATGTTTGCCTTTGTGGTTACTCTTCCAGTTGGCCTGTTTTGAGGATGCTTAGCATTTATCACAAATGATTTTTGAGTAATTTGATGACTGTTGTGGTGTTCCTCTGATCTTGATGAGATTTCAGTTGATGGTCTCCTCTGTATTTGCTTTGCTCAAACAAGTACCTAAGAAATGGGATGCTAATCAGGTGAATAACAGCTGAGTTGAACAGAAGGTTTGGTGTCTTCCTTATAAGGGATTTTTTTAGTATTCTGCATTCCAATTATATAGTGAGAACTGACAACTGCCTTTTCTAACTGTAAGAACGTTTTTAATTTTTATCCCCTAGAACATGGTGATGAGTTTCCGAGTCTCAGATCTTCAGATGTTGCTGGGTTTTGTTGGCAGGAGTAAAAGCGGACTTAAACATGAACTAGTCACCAGAGCATTGCAATTGGTCCAATTTGACTGTAGCCCTGAAGTTTTCAAGAAAATTAAGGAGCTCTATGAGACTCGCTATGCCAAGAAGAGCTCTGAGGTTGCGCAGCCTCAGCCACAGCAGCACCGGTCTCCTGAGGCACTCTCCATACATTCGTCGTACGACCGCGGGAGCACCGTTGCTCGGACTTCTATCTCCACTACTAATATTGACTATCCAGCGCTCTATGGGAAATACCTTAATGGACTGGGAAGGTTGCCACCCAAAGTTGCGAAGCCTGAAGTTCGGCTGGTGAAACTTCCCTTCTATACAACCCTGGATGAACTGTTGAAGCCAACAGAATTAGGTGAGTTTTCAATATGCTGGTGTGTTCGTGGTGGACCCGGTCTGGGAGAGAAAAGCGAAACAAGTCAAAGTGTCAAAAAGGTGACGGTATTTTCAAGGATCTGTAGAGTCATGTGGCAGGTGAGACTGATTAATGTGGTGGTGGATGCCCTCCTCTCCCTCTCTTCCCTCATACTTAGAATTTAGAGAAGAATATTTCTATCTTTTTTTTTTTTTTTTTTTCCCCCTTGCCTTAGGACAGGAATATGGTCACTTTGAGATGTAATTTGTAAGCCTGTCTTGTTTGGCTGTAGTTTTCATATCCTTCATTGGAAATGCTGCTGTGTTACACATTGCAGTCTTTTGCTGTGAATCCTAATCTGTCTTCCCTCTCTGTAATTTGGCAGTATATTGATGAAAATCTTTCTTTGATGGTGTCGCACCTGTGCTAAGCAAGTATGCTGGCATATTCTACACTTATGCTGTTTTTCAGTGCTTAAAATACCTGACCTAAAGCTTCCTATGGATGAATTGGGGCAGTACGTACATCAAATAGGATTTCTGATCTTTTCTTTGTGTGTGCTCATCAGTTACTTGTGCGAGAGGCTGCATATTTTGAGGGACAACTAGGAAAACTGAAAGTAGGGTTTTTCCCACCCTGGTGTTCAGAGTCTGATTTTTTCATTATTTTATTTCTGAGAAACAGAGTATTGTCACTGATGTTAAATACAGTGTTCTTGTCATGGAGACAGTGGATACAGAGGAGAAAGACATTGTAGTCTGCTGAGCTGCCATGGCTCATCAAGTCAATGCGTTAATATCAGGCTTCACAATGAACCTAGAACTTGGGAAACTGATCTGTCTTTGAAAAAATGCTTGATGTGCATGTGGATTGGAGGGGAAAAAAAGATAGATGATGTGATTGTGCAGGTGCAAAAAAAAGAGACTAATTCATCAGACTGTAATCTTCATCTCCGTTTGGAGGCATTAAATATGGTAATGGTGTGACCATTTAAACAGTCAAGGGGTGACTGCCAGTATAAAGCTAAAATACTTGAAGTGCTCTTTGGGGAATGGGTTAGTTCAGTCTTAAATGAGGGGTGGCATTTGCTAGTCAGGAATGCACATGTAGCCTTTTGAAGGAAAACAAATTTTCGAGAGGTGGAAATGTCGAGAGATAGGAGAAGAGCCTGGATATACTTACTGTGATTAACAAATTTTGTTAAAAGTTGACATTAAATCTTCTACATCAGATCAGAACCGAGGACTCATTAAATTTAGTATCTCACCTCTGTTAACTGACCTCTCCCTTGGGTCAGCTTGTTCCCTAAAGCATATTTGACTCATTTTCCCTTTTGATGAGAGTGTTTTCTGCTTAATGGTGGGGGATTGGTGGTAAGTAGCTGGGTACGGACAGATGTTCAGTCTTCATTGTCCCGGTCAGCTGTTCAGAACCTAACAACATCTTATAGACACTGGTTTAATTTTCCCACCCTGGTGACCTGCAACTATAATTTCTTCTGCCTACACCAATGTGAATAAAGAAGCATTTGTTTCTCTGCAAAACTGGGGTTATTTCAACACTGCATGGCTATCAGCTGTTCCCCATTGCTACCTGGAGCAGCTGGGTGCTGGAGTAACTTTGACATTAGAAGTTTATGCTTATGTGGGGCTCTGCTTAGTGCGGAAGAATGATAAAATAAAGCGCTCTGAGGAAAATTAATTATTTTTTCGGTATGGAGGCTCTACTGGTTCATGCTTTGTTGCCCAGATTTTCCATCCTATGCCTGGACCAAACATAAGCTCCTTGTCAGCCTCAGAAAGTCATAACATGGGTATATTGGAAGGAGATTTAAGATCTTGGATCCATTTAGAAACACCCAGCTGCTGTTGTAGTACCCTATTTCCCTGGCCTACAAAAGAGGTATTTTAAGCATATAGCCGTGGTGGGAGTAGGGGAATCTTAATTTATACATTCTGGACTTCAATTGGAAGCATCTTTATTAATGAAAAGGCTTTCTTGCCTCTTTGAGATGATTACCTTGAGATCAAAGGTGAGGTGGGCGATGCCTAATTTGATCTGTAGTCAAGCAGATTCCCTGAAGAATATCAAATTACTATTATACTTGTAGACAAAGGTGGTTTCAGCTAAAAGCAGATAAATTAGGTCCATTGCAAACCAGCTAATATCTCATATTTGGCAACTGCACACACAATTTCAGTCAATTTAAGTATTGAGTTTTGCATTTGAGTTATCTACATGAAAACAGCTTCTGCCGCAGCTTTCTGGTTTGGTCTAAGGATGTCAACATGAAAGAATTCTTCTAATTTACTGAAATCACTGCAATTCTCTTGGGCAGATAAGGCTTAAATTAAGATTGATCAGATACCTTTTTAGGGGGGAATGAATACTAATATCTTTCCTGCATTGTATTTTAAGTAGCTAGCAAGTGGAGTATTTATGTGAGCTCTGTGGTATCTGAGCACCTTGCTGATAAGTGTACTTATCCTCTGCACCTTTTTGGCTAAAGCAGTGTGAATATAGTTTTTGACAGTACTAGTCTGCTGTAAAGAATTCTGAATGATTTTTTTGTTCCCAATGTTAGCTGTGACAGCCTGTACTCGCTGCAGAGCGTGAGGCCACTGGTCTTCTCCTGGAGGCACGCCAGAGGAGATCTTGTGGTGCAGCTGTGGGAGCAGAAGGCCATGTAGGCTGGGAGGTCCTGCCGCTGTTGGTGTGAACAGGATTTGTTTGGGTTTTTTCCCTTTGATAATACCTGCCTTGTAGTGGTAGTGTTGCTCTTCTCTCATATCTGAGTGTGAAAACTGCTGCTCCCACCCCCCTGCTCTGAAGCAGGACATCAGTTGCTGTAAACAGGGCCACCAAGTTGAGACAAAGGCGGCTGTCTTCCCCTGACTGCACTGCACTGAGCGATCTCCAAGGAATCCCAACAAAAGCACGAGTTCACACTGTTGCTATATCCACCTAAAGAAACCACGGTATGCATTAAAATCAGTGTTTCCGTTCCTTGCAAAAATAAAAGATGCCATACAGTCAACTTGCCCCCTCTGCTCAGACCCACATGAACACAAATGCCCTTCAGTTTAGTCAGAGTAGTCCAAATAGCCAAGGAGGAAAAAAAACCCACCGGTATATTGTATTTGTGCCCTGAGGTGGGTTGTTCTGGGCATAGGGATGCGAGTGGGGATTTGTAACAAGCTCCTCAGCCCTACAGAAGCCTCCTGCCCAGAGCACATCTCTGGCTGATCCAGCTTTGGGATCTCCAGCCACCGTGATGACAATAGGATTTCTCTTTCTTGGGGGTATATTAATGGCTTTAGCAAGTTTGACAAATAAGTACAATAGTGAGGAATGTTACATTAAAAAAAAAAAAAAAAACAAAAAACCACACACCAAACACCCAAAAAACCTACCTTGGTATAGGGAGACTCTGAAATCACTGTAGTCGTTATTTTGTATGCCACAGTCTAGCCTGCCAGATCGAGAGCTACAGATGAGATTGGCTTCTCAGAATGGTAATCCATTTCAATTACATTGGGCTAAAGTCTTGAATATGGTTTGCCAAGTCCTTTTGGGTTTTGGAAGCCTTATAACTTGACTCATTCTGAGGATTGCTGATTGAGCTCAGTCTTAAAAATTGATTTCCTGCTATTGTCAACTGTTAAAATAATTTGATCCCAGCAGCCATTCTGCAAGTTAAGGGGCTGAGTTGTGTGCTGGGGCATCTGTCCTGGAAGAAGGATGAAACTCACTTATCTTAAAATATTTAGCTTTAAAAAACTGTGAATCTTTTTCTGCCTGGTCAGCAAAGAACAGCTGATTAGGTACCCTAAAAGAGTACCTCCTGAAGTTTGGGTTTATTTTCCAGCATTGAGATTTTGAAGGAGAATTGGGTCTTTACCCAGGTCTGTCTCAGAAAGGTTTTTCTTCCAGTCTTTGGGGGAATGTTCTCTTGCACTTCTCCCTGAAGTATCCAGTTCCCATTACTGGTGGCAACAAGATAGGCCTGCACATATCCAGAGTCCGTATCTTTTTGATTTTTGTTTTCCCTCCAGCTGTCTTTTATCCAGGTAACATGGGAGTGCTTTGCGTGACTCTCCAGCAGCTTTCTGTGAGCACAGTTGAGAAGTACCCCTAAGTAGCTGTAGAGGAACATAGGCACCTGAATATTTTTTTGTTTTCCTGTGCCAGTGGTTTAACAGTCAAACTGTGAAACCCATCAGGAGCTGGTGCTTCCCAGCCAGGACTCGGCATCGCATCCCATCCGTGGGGACGGCGGCCTGGCAGCCCCCACAGCCACGCTCACTTCTGGTATTGTCAGCAGAAGTCAGCAAATTACCTGGTTTGAAATTCAGTTGTGTGCTGGTTTTAATGCCAGAATATTTTTCTGGAGAGGTGATAGTGAATTTGTTGGATACTTCACAGGGTTTGACTTTTGTCACTGATGGCGTCCTCTGGCAGTGCCAGTCAGCGCTGCGGGCAGCCTGCTTTCAGCGTTGCTCCTTTTTTTGTGAAGGAAGGGTGAGCTGATACAAATGCAAAATAAAACATGAACAGCTTCTCAGTTTTCCTAAGCAGGTTTGCTTTGTTTTCATGCAGGTCAACAATCAGGAGGACAGTGTGTCTATAGACAGTTATGTAACCAACAATAGTAAAATTATTTTTGTTGTTCTTATTCATCGCTGTCTAAAAATAAATCCGTGTGAATTGCTTTACTTCTCACTGATTGTTTTGATTCAGAGACATGGAAACTGGAAGTAAATTAAAAGTCCATAAAGATACCTTTTTTGTTTGTTTGTTTGTTTGTGAAAGCCCTTTTTGCATTTTTGAAGACAAATTACCAGAAGGAAATACCCATAATCAGTGAATCAAGTTGTTACCTTGTCTTCCAGGATCTTAAAGCTGCTGAGGTTTTATCCTTCCTTCATCTCATCTTATTCACAGAGAGTAAAGCACACTTTTCTACTTTTCAAATTCTGATATATTGGCTTTGATGAAACTATCAAGTGAAGTGATGCAAATAAAAAAAAAATCCAATTCTTGCTAAAAAGAAAAAATAAAAGCTCTTTTATCACTTCCTGTCTGTTTTGTTTATCCTGTGACACTCACCAGCTCAGGGCCTTGACTTCAGTTGGAAACATGTAGTGACAATAAAATTTCTCATGTTTGAAGTTAATAAAAGGTACTAAGCAGAAGTTGTAACAAATTTTTCACATCTCAAGCTTCATTTTAACCATGTTAAATGCATTTGGTCTTAAAATTGTGAATGGATAAAAGGCCAATTAATTCCGGGTTCTCAGTTAAGCATTTTTGGAAGTGGAGTGCTGTAACACCCTACCTATAAATGCGCCCTCAAGGTCATGTGTTTGTAAGTCATGTTTTGCCTCTTGCAGCTGTTTTTTGTGATGGTTTTTTATTATCTAAGCTGATTGTTGTTGTTTGCTTTCTTTTCCAGAATCGGTCTGATCAGTCTGGTTTCATGCTTTCATGTCACGCACAGATCTCTTCTTATGCTTCTTTGAGTTCTAGTCCCCACACTGTGATGCCACTTACGATTTCTTCTTATATGAGCACAATTGTTGGCTTATTGATTATTTCAGGGGAGGAAAAGGAAAAGAAAAAAAAAAAAGCAGGTCCAAATCCACTGTGTGCTGTTAGTGTACTAACTAGCAAAACAGACAAGCAATAAATGAGCAAATCTGTCATCAACGGTAGATTTACCAAAATGCATAATGATTGGAGTTCTTGTGCAGCTGTATGGGAGAAAACAAGACTTAGAAGTAAATATAGCTCTGAACATAAAAAATCACTTTGTGCTTAGTAATGTAAGAAAAGCTCATTATTATCAGTTTGATGTACAGTCTGTTGGTTTTTTGTTTTGTTTTGTTTTTTTTTTTTTCCCTCTTCAGTTCCACAGAATAATGAGAAGCTTCAGGAAAGTCCGTGCATTTTTGCATTAACACCAAGACAAGTGGAGCTGATCAGAAATTCCAGGTATTTCTCATTGTGTATTAGCAGTTCAAGAAAATGTAACTGTGTAATTCCTCTGTGTTCCCGCTCTGTGGAAGCTTTTGTTCTCTGCAAGGAAACACAGTTTGTTTGAGGACATTAGCAGACAAGCTACTTCCCATGTAAAGCAAATAGCTTTGGGGGTGGTACAATTTTACCCTTCTAAGTCCCTGAGTTTCACTTCTGCTCCTCTAATCTTGCTTTTGAATAGTACATTTGGCCAGCAAAAGCAGTATGAAATTGTTGATGACCTAAATTCTCTGTTGAACTTGTGTTGTGAATATTTGCAGACTTCTCTTTGCATCAAAAGTTCAAAAGCTATACATGTAATGCTGTTTGCATCTGAAAGAAAGCTTCCTTGTTGTAAAGGATGCTATAGTAACTGCACAAGAAAACATCTTGCACCGATTAGGATTTAGCCTGACCTCTGTCGTGATGCAACTTTTGATTCAAACAATGAAACGCCTGAGAAGTGTCAGTGCAGACAGTAAGGCTTCCTCTTTTGCTGACCTGCTCCCTTGGTCCTTGCTGCTGTGAAAGGACAATGATGCAGAGGTCTTCCAAAACTAAGCATAAAACCTTTAAATATTTCTCTTTACAGTGAAATCATATTGTTATTTTAGAGCTGGAGAAAGATGATGTTTCTTTGAATATTCAGTGCTTGATTACTATTGTGATCCCAGTAGGTCAACAGAAGCAGTTCAGGGGAAGCGGTTTGAAGACTTAACAGAAAGGAAATTATGTACCACAGAAGTCTTGAAGGGTGATAAAAGTCTACATGTGTTGTAGCTGAGTCTTGATGCTCTTTTCTCCATATATTCAGATTTGTGAGAAAACTTACACTGTCAGTAACACAAGTCTTTCACAGCAGGGGTTTCAGTGAGGGTCTAGAATAAACACTCAGCACAGGTCCATCTTCTTCCCCTGCTTGTGGGTGGTATCCAGATGGGTTTCCCCCAGATCAAAACCAGCCACATCAGCTCCTGTGTGTCAGCTGAACTGAGGTTCCATCCCTTCCACCCCCAAAATCAAAACATTTATACTAAAACACTAAATTGGACTGTGAAACACTTTCATAAGCAAATCAAGACTAATTTGAGGATCTTATCGAATGCTTTGCATCCTGTGCAGAAATTAGAATATGTTTTGCACCTGTGTATAAAGACTCTTAAAAAAATATCCTTGTTCTGGGATATGTTGCTTTCTTGATATCAGCTGAAATCCTGTTATTGCTACCTTCAGTAGTGCTATTCATATTGACAGTTGTTCTGGTGCCGTAATACTTGGCTTCTTGGTTTGCATGAACAGCTTTAGTTGAATAATTGAACAAAGAGTCTTGAACACTGTCAGGTAGACCTGACCTTAAAACGTAGTTTTTGTAAGTTCTTACAAATCAGCCAAAGGATGCCAGGCAAATTGGTACCTTTCACCCAACTCCTTTATAGTTTTGAAAACCCAGAGAAAGGCTGTAGGATGGTGCATTAGGAGAAGAAAATAATTACAGGACCACTGATACTTGCAGGAGGAATCATACAATTTAAATAAAATTCTGTAAAGTAATTCTTTAAAGGTCTATTAAAAAAAAAAAAAAAAAAAAAAAAAAACAAAAACAAAAAACTCTCAAGTCTAGTGAAAATGACAGCTGATTTTGCCTGTTCTGGCTTTTGGTGGTTTTTGTTGTTGCTTTTTTTTTTGTTGTCATTGTTTTTTTTTTCCCCTACATAATTAATTTTTCTTTCTTCTTTAATTTACTAGGGAGTTGCAACCCGGTGTGAAATCGGTTCAGGTTGTGCTAAGGTATGTCTGAGCATGGGATTGATTTAACGTCGGGTGCAGAACAGGGGAGGAGGGAACGCAGAACCAAAATATATTAACTTTCAATATGGATTTCATAGCTACAAAGAAAACATACAGTGAACTGTTTGTTTGGATGCCTAACACAAGCATCTTAAACTCTACTTTCTAACCTCTTCCCACATGCACTGCTTGAGTTAGTGCTGCGGTAGGAAACAGCAGCGTGTCAGACTTTGCTGCCCAGGTGCCAAGCCTGTGTCCGATTTGGGAGAGCCGAGTGGAATTGGCTTTGCTTTGGCCAGATGAGGGAGCATGGGTTGGTGTGGTGATGGTTGGCTGCTGGTAGCTGTTGATGTGCAGAGAGCTTTGATACGTGCAAACAGCATGGGGATATTGAGAGACGTGTCGTTTCTTTACAGAATCTGTTACACAGACACTAGTTCTCCTCAGGAGGATCAGTACCCTCCGAACATTGCAGTGAAAGTGAATCATAGTTACTGCTCAGTGCCGGTAAGTCAGCTCAGCCAGGAGGTGTGACATTGCAACTTTGGAAGGACCTGTGTAATTTAGTAGGAAATTGGTTTTCTGATGAATGCTGACAAGAAGCCAGAGTATAAAAGTGCACTGCTTAGTTTAAAGCTAATTTTCTAATGGATTAGCTGTGTTGCTAATAAATTGTTCTTGCAAAAAGACTCGATCCTTTTTACTTTGTGCTTGGTCTGACTGTTCAGCTCCTTTCTACCCCCCTCCTTGAGAACTGTGGGTGAGTAGAACTTAGTGAAGATGAATAGATGTACCCATACAGAAGCGTCTTGAGTGAAAAAAAAAAAAAAAAACAAAACATATATATATATAATCTTTCTGCCTTAGGGCTACTATCCATCAAACAAACCTGGAGTGGAACCTAAAAGGCCCTGTCGTCCCATCAACCTCACCCACCTCATGTACTTGTCTGCAGCGACCAATCGCATCACCGTTACCTGGGGGAATTACGGGAAGGTACGCGCCAAAGGAAATCGCACGGGACTGCACAAACGAGGGCAAGAGAGCAGCCTTGATCACTTTTTCCCTTCCTTCTCTCGTTAGAGCTATTCCGTGGGGCTGTACTTAGTGCGGCAGATGACTTCAGCAGAGCTGCTGCAGAGGTTGAAAACCATTGGGATCAAACATCCAGAACTTTGCAAAGCGCTTGGTGAGTATGTCTGCTTGTGAGGTGGCTCGGGGAGGTCTGCTGTATGCCTATCAGACTGCAGCACTCCTAATAGCCAGGCTGCTAAAACTGTGCTTGGGAACAGCTGCCAAGTTTTGTACAAACTTCTTTCCTCCAGTTGTATAAAAACCCTTTTGATTTGAACAGACTTGCTGAGCTGTATGTCAGTTGTGTGAAATTGCCCCACATATGTGTGCAAGTGCAGCACTTCTGCAGCGTGCGTTTCTCGTGGCTCTGCAGAAGCTCTGAATCACTTCAGTTGGATTTAGAATTTGTCCCCAGGTTGTATCGTGGCGAGTGCCGCTGAGGGCCAGTGTCGTTCTGACGCGAATGGCTTCATGCCTTCACCTGAGTAATTATGAGCTGACGAACATTACCACAGCGCCTCGGCCTTGACCCGCACTATTTCCAAAGGAGATTTCTGGAGCAAGGGATCCTGGTGAAAATGTCCTGCTGCCCCAACCCCCCGTGAATCCTAGGGGCTGGCAGTGGGATTTCACCACCAGCACTTTCATATGCGTTGAGAGCTTCAGAGAAGAGATGATCCCGAGAGATGCTTATCCTAGACCACTCAGGTAAATCATTGTGGTATGAGGCAAATGCAAAACATTGTTGAAAATGAGGGGAAATTACCTTTCCAAGGCAGAATCTGGCTTGCAGCTCCTGAGAGTCTGAAGGATTGCCAGTTATTTAACGTTACTGGAGAGAGCATTCTTACTATTTAGTTCTGCGTGGGAGAGCTAACACCATGGATCGTAATGGTCTTTAAAACATACTATTCAGATCTTGGACAACTCTTACTGAGCGTAAGAATCATAATCTTGAAGAGAGATTGTAGTTCCTAGGAGAGATGATGATTTCAGGCATGTCCAGTCTTCAGATGCGTAATGCACATTGTGGGGCACGCTGCTGCTTCAGCCGAACTTCTGATCTTCATGATAAGCGCAACACTTCTGCAGCAGATGCTGAACACTTCTGTATCTGTGTGCCGTGGCAGTCTTGATCATATTAGACCACTCTCGACAGCCAGCACTTACCTATTGACATAAGAAAATTTCCACTTGTTAAATATCCCCCATTCTCAGAAGCCTGAGGCACTGGCTGTGCTCCTTTTTTTGCTCTTCGCCAGAACCTCAGATGAATTGAGCAGAGTCTGGCTTTTGAGTTGTCCTAAACTGCAGAGGATCCTCTCATTCCTCTCTGATGCTTCTTGAAACTTGGCTCAGCAGTGTGTGCTGTTCCCTTTAAAGCAAGCGCTTGCAGGATGGCCTCTCAACCTGCGAGTGGCAGGCAGAGGTTCTGACAGCAGCTTTCTTGCCTTTTCCACTCAGTAACAAGTGTGTGCCTCCAGTTCTATGGAGTTAGAGAACTGACAGCTTTCGTGGGACTTTGGGGCGGAGATGAGTTGCATTTGGTGACCTTAAATTTCACCAAATAGGTCTTGTTTCAATTCCTTTGCCCTGTTACTGCTTGGAAGTTGTTTGGACATCTGAAACTGGCAAACACAAGTAGCTTGTAAACTTTGCTGTTATAGCTTTGGTCTGTTCTGCAAGTGATTCCATATCCCATTCATTGCAGTGTCCCTCAGAACACACTAAAGTTACCCTTTGACTTCGGTTGCATCTCGGGGCTGACTCCTCTTCCTCTGCATATGCTTCTGTTGACTTTAGTACAGGAACATTGTCTAGAAACAGAGATGCTTACATACATGTCTGTGGATCCAAAAGCAGTCTTAAACCAGCTTGCTTCTAATCAGGAGGTCCTAGAAAATGCCCGTTTCTCCTTCCCATGTATCATAGTAATTGATGCACAGAGAATGCTTTTACAAAGGACTTTATGAAAAATTAAGCTCGGATGAAAAGTCTCCTAATGTGAAGAAAACAGCACCAAATCTTGTAATCTCATGGGAATTTCACATCTGAGAAGTCACTCTCTAATTAGAGCTGTGTGTTGCAAAACTGCATGTAGCCTCATTGTCTGGAGACATCTTGTTACAATCTGAAAAGGTCAAAATAAATGGTTGACTTGCTCCAAAGAAAAATGGTGATGGAAGCATCAAAGGCCAGTGTTAGCAGCAGCTACTCCTTAGGAGTTGTGTAGTAGTTTAAAGCTGATTTTCTGTGTTGATTCAGCGCCTTGACGCAGGGCCTGCACGTGTGGGACCTGCACGTCTGCTGATCTTTTTGATTTGCCTGCACCCCCTCCGGGTTTTCCTTTCGGGGTGCAGCAGCGGGGGGCAGGATTCTCTACCTCCTTTCCTAATGTCTTGTTCTTTCCAAATCTATGCTGGATCGCTGCTTGTGACCGTTTTTTGCATGGCTGCCTTGCTCTCTGAGCTGTCTGCCCTGGTACCTCTGGGTCTGTTTGCGGTTCCTGTGAAACACTCTGCTGGAATAAATGAGCCGGCCAGCATATACGCTGAAGAGTTACAGCACAGTAGCACTAAGAGGAGGCCTGTTTATTTGATGGGGAAATGATGGGATGTGGTTTCCTGTCAATTTGACTGTATCCTGTGTTTGCTCACTTCTGGGGAGACTTTCTCTGAATTTCAAGGGGCAAGGGGAGGCAGTTAACCCTGTCCTATTGCCACTGATCTCAGAAGGGAATAAAATCCATCGTGCTTATGCTAATGACCAGATAAGCTTAAAGTGACTTTGTTCCAGAAGTCTTGCCATGTGCTAGAGCTCTATCCATCCACTTTTTCCCTCCCTGCAGGAAGTTCAGGTATGCGGGTGCCTTATTCCCCTCTGAAGGGGGACAAAGTTAACTCCCAGTTGGCTGCCTTGGTATAATATTAACATGACAAAGCTGGTCAGCAGGGTGATTTCCTCTGTGCACCCCAGCTGCCCAGCCTATAGCTTGTAAATAAGAGGTGTAAGGGTCGCTCAGAGAGCATTAACTAGCTAGCAGATAGCATGCAGACAGTTGCCCTCATCCCAACACGTAAGTCCAGCCTGGCTCCTTCCCTTGGTCTGCCTGGGTGAGAGGCAGCGTGTGCTGGGAGACCTGAGTTGTTGGGAGGGGGGATCTGTAAGAAAATGCTAGCTTGCTCAACCAATAAACACTCCAGCTGGCCCGTAGACCATGAACTGCCTCATCATGCACGAGGTTTTTTGCTGGCCGAGCAGCGTCTCTACTGAGCTCTGCAGGTTGCGCAAGCCTGGTCCAATCCAAGAGCTTTGTGTCTGCAGTGTCCTCTGTCCCTGACTGGCAGAGGCTGTCATCTGTGGGGAAAATGACTTGTATGCAGCCAAGGGCTGTCAGTGAGCTGCTTGACCTGTGCTACACGTTGTTTCCAAGGTTTAAGTTTGCATCTGTTAAATTTTGTGCTCTCTACTCTTACTACAGTAAAAGAGAAGCTACGCTTGGATCCAGACAGTGAAATTGCCACTACAGGTGTCCGTGTGTCTCTTATCTGTCCGGTAAGCCTTTGCAAAATATTTTAATCTGTTTCTGTCAAGAAACCCTATTCTGCTGCCAGACCAGCTTTGCCAGACAACAAACCTTATTGCTGATCTTCTGCTCTTTGGTTCAACAGCTGGTGAAGATGCGGCTGTCGGTGCCATGCCGGGCGGAGACCTGTGCACATCTGCAGTGCTTTGATGCAGTCTTCTACCTACAGATGAATGAGAAAAAGCCCACATGGATGTGCCCTGTGTGTGACAAACCAGCACCCTATGACCAGCTAATAATCGATGGGTGAGTACATACACTTCTCTGTCCTCTGCCCCTTTCTTTTTCCGCTGGGTGCGGCATCTTGTCTTTTGGTCTGTGCATCTGATTGAAATTCACCTCGAAACAAAGTTGGAAGCTTATTCTGCTGGTGCATAATATTCGGACTTGATTGTCTTAGTGTATTAGAGCAAGACTTGACTGTTTGTCTGCCATTCTTAATTTTTTGGATTACACTAAAGCGTTTTGAGAATCAAGCGTTTCCTGCCTCACTCTTCTCATCAGGCTGGTGAACTCACACAACTAGCTGCCCGGGTTGACCAATATCATTCTGCATGGAATAAACCACCTCATAAGCAGCCAATAAGGTGATTTTTGATAGGAAACCTGTCAATCTTCCTGCTTGCTTGTTGGTGTCAGGTGCTCATCAGATCACAAGCAACTGTTGGCATGCTGTAAATGTGCTTGGGGGGGATCTTCTCTGCCAGCTATTAGACTGAACATCATGCAACATATAGTCCCTGAGATAGAGGTACAAATGCAGTATTTGGGAAGATTTTTGTACAGTGTGTGACTATTCCAGTACCATTTCTGCGGCCATTGTGAATATCTTTGTGTCAGGGAAGGATGTCTCCGTAGGGACTATTTCTGTGTTTTGCATGCCTACAGGGGGAAAAAAAGCAGGAGGTTTAGATGCACTGGAGGGACAGAGCTAAAATACTTTGGATATATCGTCCAGGCTAGAGGTTGTGTGGGTCTACCCAGACTCCCTGGGCCTCCTGCCTTGGTTCCTCTGGGGACACGCAGTGGTGGCTGATCCTTGTAGCAGGCTGAGCCTGTGCAGCAGGACCCTGGGGTGCTCGGGGGGCCCTGGGGGCTCCCTGCTGGGGGCCACCAGCCCCCTTGGTGTGGGAGGGGATACCAGTGCACTTGTCAGGCAAATGGAATATGCTGGGAGGGAACTGGCTTTTGGTACAGCACTTTTAGAGTGGGTTTGCAAAGGGCAGACAGTGAAGTTTTGCCCCCGCCACAAATTTGGGTCTGGCTGCTGTCCTGGGGCTGCTGCCTGCCCTGTGGTGGGCCAGAGGGACAGAGCCACACCAGTATCCCCATCCCCAGTGTCCCCAGCAAGGCAGCCCCATCTCTTCTGCACAGGGGATGTTCTCTTTCTACTGTCTCATTTTGAATGTGGCGTAGCTGGAGTAGTGCTGTAAAAGCACAGGAGGGAATTAAAGTAAATTCTAAACAGCGTTTGGAAAAGGATGAGGCAAGAAATGCATGTGCTGAGCCCTGAATTGGGGAAAGGTTGCTTTAGGCTTGGCAGTCAGCTTGTTGTCTGTTTTCAGTCCATATGGGAATGGCGTTTCCCATATCTCTGGACTTGAATTGGTTTGCTCGGTCTTTTTACCAAAGAGCAGAGCAGAGAGGGCTCACCATAATCTAGGAGGGCTGGAATACTACAGTTCAGCAGTACAAGAACACTTTTGGAGGTGATGCTTATACGTCTGAGTGAGGTTTGATACTGGAAAGCTTAAAAATGCAGCTGTGTGCCAAGAGGATTACTGCAAAAAAACAGATGATTTCCCTCTCCTTGCAGACCTGGTGGATGGAGTCTTGTATGCAAACTGCAGCATGAGCCAAGCTGACACCAGGGGCCACCTGAGGCAAGCCAGAAAGCTGGCGACGATGCTTGTCAGCTCCAGAAACATGGGTTCCAGAGGCTGCCTCTAGAGAAGAGCACAATAAATTGCCTGGCTTTTGTCCAAGAGTAAAGGAAGGAACAAGCAGTGAATTAAAACAAACGATTACCTCCACTCACCCCCCAGAAGAAGCTGCTTTGCCTCAAAACTCAGGGAATCTGTTTTATGAGCTGGGACCACTGACATCTGTAGTTGTGCTAGCCAAGCTGAGAGCAACCCTTGAGGGCTGGTGGAGCGAGGTGCATGGTTCTTGGCTTCTGGAAAATGATCCCCACCCTCATGGCTTGTATAATTGGCCTCTAATGCAGGTTCCCTCAAAAGTAGGAAGAGTTCAGAGAAATTGTTCAGGTGCATCCACCTCCCTTGGCACACAAGGCAGTGAAGTGAGCAGACAGGTCTCTGCCTGGGTGGTATATTCCCAGGGCCAGACTGATAATATTCTGAGCTTCGCTTCATTTGTAGGTACTGATTTGATCCAGGAGTTGTGGCTTTTTAGACAGTTTGAAGCAGCCTAGGCACAGATAACCTGTTTGCTTTGTCCTCTGGCCAACACTGACAGGAAAATCCAGTTCCTTTGGGATCTTGAACAAGGCTGCTGAGACTGAAGGGGAAAGTACGAGGGGTTGGATTGTGGAACCTCCGCGGGTCAGCAGTGCGTGTGTCCCTCCAGGTTGAGGAGGAGGTTGTCACTGGTGAAGGCTCAGCAGATTTCTTTGTCCCTGCTCTGCAGGGCTCAGGACTGGGTTTCAGTGCCAATTCTGTTGGATGAAAGTTGTCTTCAGACCTCCCTGAAAGTAAGCTGGAGGGAACCTGGCAGTCACAGCTGGATGTTGTTAGTCAAAAAAGGGGCGTAGGCTCCTGAGGAGGGAGGTAGTTGGTCAAGTCTAAGATTCTCTGGGCCTTGTCAGCTTTTTTGGAATTGCAGCCTCGGTGGTTCCTCTGCTGGATGACATGACTGTCTGTGGAAGTGCATTTCCTACTTGAGCTGGGGAAAAGCAGAAACTTTCCCCCATTAGTGTGCCACAAATAGTCTTTCCGAGCTTGTAAGATTTTTTTGCTATTAGTTCTCCTTTGTACTGAAAGGAAGTGTTCAAATCCAGAAGTCAATCAGGCCTTGCAGAACAGTGGTTCCAATAGTGTGTCCAAATAACCATCCCAGGCAAACGGTGGGACGTACTGGAATAAAGCAAGTACCCAATTTCTTGAGGCACAGTGAGCTGGAGAAAGGGCCTCATTCTGGTTAGTGCCTCTGCAACGAGCGCTGGCTGACATCGAGGTATCTACACCGGGTCTATTTTCAGTGGTGAACATGGGGTTTGTTTCCGTTGCAGGATGCTGCATTTATTGTTTTAGTGGCTGCTGTGAAGGCTTTGGGAAATAAAAATGGGAAGGTAGTGAAGATTTCCTGATGCCATAGGATATTTTGTCTTGGTGTGAAGGTACCTGCACCAGCCCTGACGCAGCTCTAGATGGGGCATCAGACGTCTGTCTGGAAGCGGTACCACAGACTTGGGAAACTGGGTGAAGAGGCAAGGCTGTCTTCTAATTGCACGTAATTAAAATGTTAGTTCACAGTTTAGGTACATTGTCAGAAAGGATGGGGATGGCTTGCACTGTCAGAACCTGTACTTGTTTTATGGGAAATAAAGCAAGCACTTGACTGCAAGGGCTGTCTGTCTGGCAGCCTTCTGCTAACACCAAATTTCTTTTAAATTTAAGGCTGTTTAAGCTGAAGATCCAGGTTGATGGCCCGTCACTAAGTGCATTCTGCTGATTGCCTTGAGTTTAATAGCTGGCATCTTTTCTCCTGTCCAGACTCCTGTCAAAGATCCTGACAGAATGTGAAGATGCAGACGAAATAGAGTACTTGGTGGATGGCTCCTGGTGTCCCATCAGGGCTGAGAAAGAGCGGAGCTGCAGCCCTCAGTGTCCAATATTAGTTCTAGGTGAGTATCCCTGGGGCTAAAGACTTTAAATTACTTCAGGAAATGTACACATGCTGCAAAACTACAGTTCCCCAGCTGGCTTGGGAAAAGCTGTCTGGTACCTTTTACGTGAGCTTGGCTTTTGGAGAGCTTCCTCTGGGAGAGAGCCCCTTTGCTTTCAGCCTCTCCAGAAACGAAGAGCCATCACCAGGGTGCACCGCGTCCCTGCGGGTTGTTCAGCAGAGCTGGGTTGTTGCCAGAATGGCATCGAACACGTTTCTTGGTATATGCACCTCTGCAATGACCCCTGAAATGTCATCGGCAAGACCAGCACTGTACTTCTTCTGTGAGAAAAGAGGATTTGGGCTAGAAGGGCTGTGTCTGGGCAGCTTGCACGAGGCCGGGTGCTCGAGCAGTGGTGGTGTCTGCTGCCGGGGTTGGCCGTGTGGTTGTGTTGCTTTTTGCTTTGGCCACCCGGGCAGGTGGGAAGTTCTGACCCCAGAGGGAGCACCAGGTTTGTGGCATCGGCTCTTGCTCTTAGGCAGCTACTTGAATGGAGTTTGTTTCATGCAGCCCTTGGTATTTTTTAGACTGGACATCAGGCAGCATTTCTTTACCAAGAGGGTGGTCAGACGCTGGAACAGGTTTCCTGGAGAGGTGGTCGATGCCCCAAGCCTGTCATTGAGGCTTTTGGGCAACGCCCTTAAGAACAAGCTTTTAACTTTTGGTCACCCTGAAGTGCTCAGGCAGTTGGACTAGATGACGGTCGTAGGTGCTTCCACCTGAACTGCTCTAGTCCAAGTACCACACAGCCACGAGAGACCGAGAGTATCAGAACATCCCTTAAACTGGGCGTGAAGTGTCTGAATGGATCCTCTCTTCCCCCACCTCTTTCAGGTTCTTCGGATGTGAACGGGCTCTTGCCCACTCCTAACGGTAACGGTGAGAATGGCAAGGCCACTGCCGACGTTGTGGATTTAACACTGGACAGCTCATCATCGGAGGAAGAGGAGGAGGAAGATGAGGAAGAAGATGATGATGATGAGGGACCCCAACCAAAACGACGCTGCTCGTATGAGAAAGGTTTAGTTTCTGCCTGCTGACTGCGGAAGCAGCTCTGAATCTCAGAATGGACAGACTTGAATACTCTGGTGCTTATTAAACTGGAGGAGGGGGAGAATGTCCTCTCCCACCTCATCTCCCTTCTTCCCTGATCTCCTTTGACTTTCCTATTGCAAATTAATCATTAAAACAAGAGAAAAAGAGGAAAAAAAAAAACAAAACAGAAAAAAAAAAAAACACAAAAAAAAAACACAAACAAAAAAAAAAAAAAACAGACAAAAAAAAAAAATTCTCAAACGAAAAACCATTGAGCTGCTTCGTGGTTGGAAAACGACCCCACTCAAAGCCTGACCCTGAACTGGAGCCTGAAGTAAGGAAAGTGTCTTAAGCCAGGCAGTCAGAATCCACAGCTCGCTGGTCTCTGCTGCCCTTCGCCAGGATGGTTTGAATCAGTGGAGTTCACCTGCAGATCTACAGGACATCTAACTCCCGTGCATCTCCAAAGCTGTGTGCATTTTTATTGTCTTGTTAAATAACCATTCCTTAATTAATCTAAAGTTTTTGCTGGACGCGTGAGTCCGGGGCGGGGAGGGTGGGGGGAGTGGGGAGAGGGAGAGGAGAGGGGTGGGTGGGTGAGGGAGGTTTGTATAACCTGGCAAGCATAGCGGGGGTTTTTAGGGGTGGGGAACGGGGGGCACGGGGCGAAAGGGAAGAGATGTTCGATTGGAATCGCACTGTTCTAGATAGGAGCTCCAGCAGCTCTGCACCTCATGTAAAGAGACACGTTTTGAATCTTTTAACCTAACCCGAAGGTAACGTAGAAATTGTGCGTAGTGAATCGTTTTAGTTGAGCAGAAGCCATGGGGAGGGTGGGGAGGGCTCGAACCACAAACCTGTTGTATTTTTGAAGTGCAATAACTTGGTGTTTTTGAAGACTTAAAAGGGCTGCGCATTCCCTTTTCTTTGAGAAGGCTTTGTTTCTGGAGGCGGTGGCAGTGACCTGCAGGACAGCCGGACACCTGGCACGTGAGGAGGAGCGGGGTGGGGGGCGAGGGGTGCTTGGGCCTTCCGAGAAAATGCCAGGTGGGGGAATCTCAGTTTCTAGCCAACTACCTCGGTAAACTCCAATTCAGGTTTCTTTCAGTCACGAACCAGTGTGCGGCCCGGCACCGGCGCTGCTGGCGGCACTGTTGGCAGGGTGTTGAGGACAGAGCCGAGGGACGATGCGTGGAGCCCTGCGACCACGTGTTAACAGCCTCTGGACTTTCCACTTCTCTGTTCAAGACTTTGGTCCCAGACCCAAAGCTACTGCTATGCTCTTGATGGCAAAATGTTGTTGCTTTTGAGTTTCCAAATGGTAACCTTTTTGACTTTGTCTTAGAGAATTTTTTTTTTGTAATTAACTTCGCGTAAGCAGCTCAGCTGTTCCCACTATCGCCTCTGAACTCTGTTTTGCTTTGGACCTCGCTGACTTTTCTCATCTGTAGGTGAGAATAAACGTCGGAAGGAAGCTGGCCCGTGCCTCTGCCCCTCGCCGGGCCCACGGGACGGGGGGGGGGGAAAGTGGGAGCCGTGCCCCCCTGCCCACCCTCGGGGGTGTTGCTGCGGCCGGGGCCGCCTCAGCCAGCACCCAGCTGCTGGACGAGACCCCCGAGCTCTGGGCAGGGGGTGCTTGGTGTCACTGGGCGCTGCCGGAGCCCCGTGCGGGGACGGCCCTGCTGCACCCCAAACCCTCCTGCCCCCCACACCCCCTCACACACCCCCCTTCAGCCTTCGCTGGGGAGGGGGGCAACAGCAGCAAAACGGCAGAACCGGCGCGACGGCGCTTCCCGAAGGGCTTGTCCCGCGTTCGAGAAAAAGCAAAGCACGGCCGATCTCACGTCAACAGAAAAGCCACCGAGGTCCACCCAGAGCTCTTGAAAATCCTTGTTAGTGACTTGCCCAAAAGCAAAGAATTCTCCTCTAAATGCTGTTTGAGCAGGAAGCTTCGACCTGGCACGTTGGGAGGTTTCCTCTCCAAACTCTCCCCCGTCTCCCGCCTGCGGTGTCGGATCCCCACGGCCCCTGCCCGGCGCGGGAGGGCACCGGGCTGCAGACGCTGGCGGAGGGAGCGTCCGTCTCTCCCGGCCCTTCCTGCCCATCTGCGTTTTGTCTTGGCAAATGAAAACTTGAAGGCAAAAGGGGGGGGGAATTAAAAAAATCCCCCACGCTTTCTCCCCAGGCATCTTGCGAGGGTGTCCTGGCCGGCAGCCGTGGGCAGGGGGGAGCGGGCAGCTCTTCCGCTGTTTCCAGTCTTGCTCCCACAGAGAAACTCTTATTTGTACGACATAGGCTTTTCTTTTTCTTCTCTTTTTTTTTTTTTTTTTTTTTTTCTGTTTGCGTGTAAGCAATATGTTTTCAGGTTTAAAATGGGGGTGAGGGTGGGGGATTAAAACAAAGAAAACCTGGGTAGAGCTCAAAAATTAAGTTTTTCTGTATAAAGTTCTGTGGCTCGCATCCCTGGCTGCACAGTAGCTTTAGAGTCCAGTTTTTTTTCTAATATTTGTATTCTAATTTAATTGCTCTTAAATTTTCCAGGCCAAGCCACTGTTTGGAAACATCATGCTTCTGTTACTGCTTTCTGTTTGAGTTGGCCAGCTCTTCCTGTACATATGTTTTTTCTTATATCCTGTTTTTTTCTTTTTTTGTAAAGAAGAGAAAAAACAAAAAGAAAATTATTTTTCTTTCCCTCAGTACACATTCTTCAAAGTTCAAATTATAGTGTTTGTTAAATAAAAAGAAAGATTTACATTTAATTCAGTGTTGCCTTGTTGGGATTTCTCCCCGGGAGCTCCCTGAGCTCACCCCAAAAGGAGCCGGGGGGGGGGGGTGTCCGTGCGTGGGGCACGAGGGTCCCGGGGCAGCCCCTGGGCCGGGGGGGGGGCAGAGGGGCCCCATCCCCGCGGGCACCTCGGTGCCACTTCGAATTCCTCCACCTCCAGCAGATTAATCATTTTATTTATGAGGCTTAAAGGTCCAAATCCCGCTAAACCCGGGGCTTTGCCAGATAAACAGCCCGCTTTGCGAAGGCAGCCCGTTTGTGAAAACACAATTAGCAAACCCCGTAATCTGCGCTAATTACCGGCCGGGGCCGGGAGGTCTCCCCTCGGCCTGGCGGGGAACCATGGGGGACGCGGAGCCCGGGGGACGGCACCCGCCCGGGGCCTCCTTCACCATCGAGTACCTGCTGTCGGAGCGGGGCCGGGGGGGACCCCCCAGCCCCCCAGCTGCCCCCCGGCCCCCCGCGGAGCCCGGCACCAAGCCGGCACAGTCCTACATCGCCCTCATCTCCGCCGCCATCCTCTCCTCCCCGGAGAAGAAGCTGCTGCTCTCCGACATCTACCAGTGGATCATGGACAACTACCCCTACTTCAAGAACAAGGTGAGGGGCTGCGATGCTGGAGCAGACCCTTTTTATTTTTTTATTTATTTATTTCCACACACACATTTTTGATGGTTTGGGGTAGGTGAACTGGGAGCTGAGCCGCGGGGCGCTGGGGTTGGTTGGGGGGCCGGGGCTGGGCTTCACTCACCACATCTCTGCTGACCCCAATCCTCCGGGAGAACGCGGGTGCCGGCGTCCGGATCTCGGGGACGGTTTCAAGCGGTACCAGGGGGGCTGGTTGCAACGGGGGCGGGGGGAGAAATCGGGTGCCGTTCACTCTGGTGCCTACTGACGTCCTGGGGGCGGCGGGACTGGCTGACGGCGCCTCTCGGCCCAGGAGAAGAGCTGGCGCAACAGCGTCCGCCACAACCTCTCCCTTAACGAGTGCTTCGTCAAAGCCGGCCGCAGCGACAACGGCAAAGGCCACTTCTGGGCCATCCATCCCGCCAACCTGGAGGATTTCGCCAAAGGCGACTACCACCGCCGGCGGGCCCGGCGCCGCGTCCGCAGGTGAGTGGGGGTCTGGGGGGGGGGGTGGTCCCGGGGGGGGGGCGGTTTTGGGGCTCAGGGCTGACCCGGCTGCTCTGTTTCCCCTTGCAGGGTGAATGTTGGCTACTACCCCCCCTACGCCCTGTACGGCCTCGGCTGCTGCTGCCCCTGCTGCCCCCCAGCCCCCCCTGGACCCCCCCTCACACTGTCCCCCCTCGACCTGCCCCCGGCCCCCCCCCGCTGCCTGCCCGAGGGGACGCGCTGGGGCTGGGGACGGGTCCCTGCTCCCCGTGGGCCCGGCCTCCTCCTCCCCCGACCCCCCTTCCTGTAGCCCCCCCCCCCCCCGGCTCGGGTCTGGAGGGGGGGGGGGGGCGGGGTTCCTAGATGGGGGGTCCCCCAAAAGTGCCAGGGACGCTCTGGATGGCACCCGCCCCGCGTTCTGTGGTGTGTATGTGTGTCGTGTCCCCCCCCACACACCAAGCCAAGGGGCCACATGTGTGTGTCCCCCCACCCCATCACCAGTGAACCCCGATGTACCGGGATGGGGCCAGAGCCTGAGGTACAGGACCCCCCCCCCAACACCCCCCTGTCCCCGTGCCCCATGGGGGACCCCCCCGGGGTTCCCTAGGAGAGCCCCTACTCCCCCCACGTCCCCCCCCTCCCAGCGGTGTCACCCATGGGGAGGGGTCCCCACCCCACGTCCCCCCCCCGCGGGCCCAGGCACATATGGGGCTTAGACCCTCCAGCATCGGGCCCCCCTGCCCTAATTATTTTCTTACTAATTGTCCCTGACGCCCCTAATGAAAATCGCGGCTCCCAGGTGTTAAGCGGCATTAGGGCGTCTCGCTAAGGCGGGCGACTCGGCCACTCAATCCTGGGAGATAAAACCCCCAAAGCTCTTCGCGCCCCTGAAAACCAGGAGGCTTATGACACAAATTAATCCCTTCAGGGTGGCCGTGCCCTTTGGGGGGGCCGGGGGGGGGGGGCTCTCAGGGCTGGCAGCGATATGGGGGGGGGGGGGGGGGGGCTGGAGGCCAGGCTGGGTCTTGCTCAAGGGGCCAGGGGCGGCAGCAGGATTTGGGGGGGGGTGTCTGGATTTGTGGGGTCCCCTCGGTGCCACCGATGTTGTCGTCGTCCCCCCCCCCCTCGCGTTTTGCCTCAGTTTCCCCGTTTGCAGCTGGTCCCCACCCCCATCCCAGCACTGGGGGGGGCGGGGGGGGGGGGGGGGCACGCACCCCAAACCCTGTCCCCGAAGGCTCCTTAAACCGCGGCCATCTGGGTGCCGGCCCGGCCCTAATCTGCACCCAAAGGGGATTAGGGCCCCCCCCCTGCAACCCCCCAGGCCCCCCCGCAAGCAGCTTAAGCTGCCCCAGGGGAGCCAGATCCAGCCCGGGGGGGGGGACTGGGCAGACTGGGAGGGGACACCCCCCCCCCCCCCCCCACTTCACCCTTGTTTTGCAAGGGGAGGGGGTCGTTGCTCCATTTGGGGAAACTGAGGCACGGCCACAGGCTGGGACTGGCACCCCAACAGCCCCCCCAACCCTCCCCCCCCCCCCCGCAGCCCTGGACACCCCCAAATCAGGGTTCACCCCCAACCCACCTGCCCTGCTCCTCGCTGCTGCGGGGTCACCCCTTCCAGCCCAGCGCCCGCCGCGCCGCCAAACCACCAAAGGGAGAAAAAACCAAACAAACAAAAAAGAAAAAAAACATCTTGAGCCACCCCAAAACAGAGGACACCCCCCGCCCCCCGCAGCGCTGCTGCCCTTGATAAGCTTTTCCGCCTCCCAAGAAGACCAAACGGCTGCGTGTGTATTTTTAATATATAGTTTATTTTCTTTTTTTTTTTAAAGCCCCCCCAAAGTGCAATTTTTATTTTTTTCTTTTTTTTTTTTTTTTTTTTTTTCCTCGTCTCCCACACTTTATAAAGAACTATCAAAGTTACAATCTATGGAATGTCTTTTCTGTGCTTTTTTTTTTTTTTTTTTTCTTCCTCGCCTCGCTCCTTTACCCAGATATACCACAAAAGTAGTTTACACATAAAAACCGCTGAAACCTTGCGAGTGCTTTAGATAGAGAATCTCTTTAATAGATTATATATAAAGACGCAGAAAAAAAAAAGAAAAAAAAAAAAAGAAAAAAGAAAAAAAGAAAGGAAAAAAAAAAAAAAAAAAAGAAAAAGAAGTGGCCCCATCTTGAGCATCCTCGCTGGGTTCCCGGGCAGAGCTCGGGCTCACGCGTGACCCCCCCTGCCCCGGGAGAAGTTTAAGCTCTCGGTGTGTGTGTGTATATATATATATATATATATAATTTTTAGAAAAACACAACTTTAAACGCAGCATTTTGCTACTCGGTACGGCCCCCCCCCGGCTCCCTCCCCTAAGAAAGCTCCATCCTGTGACGCCGTGGTGATTTGCTCTTTTTAAAAAGTGTTCCTCTTTATTTAAATAAAACTTCTCATAATAAATTGAAAATATAAATAGATACGATATATAGCTATATATATATATTTTTTTTTTCTTATTTTCTTTTTAAATAGTCGAATCAGGCCTCTGGGGGGGGGTTGGGGCCGGGGTTATCCCAGCTGCTGGCGGGACCCCCACCCCAAAGGGGGGGCGCTGACCAGGGGGTGCTGAAGGAGAATTGGGAAGGGGGGTGGGGGGAGAAAGAAAGCCCTTTTCCTGTGGAAGAACAAGCCCCCCCGCCCCCCCCGGCCAGGCTGGGGGGGCCAGGACAGCCCCCCCCCCACACTTTTGGGGGGGTGTGGGGCACAAACCCCGGGGGGGGGGGGGCTGGATGCAGCATCGTTAGGAGCAGCGCAGGGGGAAGGAAGGCGATGCCCCCCCCAAACCCCCCCCGGCCCCAGGAGGGGATGAAACCCCTGCAGCCGCCCCCCCCCACCCCCCCCACCCCCCCCGCTGCCCCTCAGACCCCAAACGAGCTGGGGGTGACCCCAACCACCCCCCCTCATCACCAGTTGCGTTTGGGGGGGGGGGACACCCCCCCCAGCCCTCCCTGGTGTCCTGGGCTGGGACCCCCAGGGCTGAGCCCCCCCCCCAGCACAAGCCCCAAGCCAGCTCCCCCCACTGGGGGGAGGGAGGTGGGGGGGGCGGTTATTTTTCCCTCTTTTGTACCAAAAACCTTAATTTTTACTTTGCCCTTCCCCTTTGGGTTTTGGCTGGTTATTACGAATTTTTTTTCTTTTTTTTTCCCCCCCTCCTTTCTTTTCCCAGCCCGGTGTAACTCAGCAGTATCTTTGGCAACACTTTATCACAACCTGAATTTTAAAAAAACCAAAACCAAACCAAACCAAAAAAAAAAAAAAAAAAATTAAAAAAAAATGACAATAATGACCAAAAAAAAAAAAAAAATTTGATGCTGAGCTACAGGACGCGGGGGGGGGGCTGCGGGGCTGGGGGTTAAGGCCGGCGATGGCTGCAGGACAGGGACAAACCGGGGGGGGTTGGGGTTTGCTTTTTTGCGCCTTTAAAAAAAATTTTTTTTTTTCCCCCGACTTTTTTTTAGTGCAAACTTAAACTTGTGCTAAAGTGTTGCCAGCGCAGGGGGGGCGGGGGGGGGGGGTCGGGGCCGCGGGGCTGCCGCAGGCGTGGGGACGCTCTCGCCGCGGGGAATCCTGAGACTAATTCTCTCTCCTCTTACTTTTTGTGCCATTTTTTCTTTTTTTTCCCTCTCTTTTTCCTTTTTCTTTTTTTTTCCTTTTTTTCCCCCTCTTTTTTCTTCCCCTTCTTTTTTTTTTTTTTTTTTTTTTTTTCCTCCTCCTTTCCCCTCTCCCTTTTCTCTTTCCCCCCCCCCCAGCTCTCCAAGGCCGGGCCGGAGGAAGCCGCAGGGTTTATTCCCCAAGTGCCAGAGGGGCCCTTTGCCCAGAGCCCCCCCAGTTTTCCAAGGCTCTTTCAGGGCAGGGGCGTGGGGGGAGAAAAGCAGCAGTGAGGAGCTGGCAGGGGCGGGGAGGGGGGCAGAAAAACCAGGGAAGAAAAATTAACACAAACTAGAAAAGAGATACCACAACTCCGATTACAATAAAGAACCTCAAGTAAGTGTCTATTTACAAATCCACGCTTGAATTTTTTTTTTTTTTTTTTTTTTTTTTGCATATGCCAGAATTAGCCAGTGCTAAGCAGAGGTTCAGCCCAGCGGGGGTGTCGGCCCGGGGGGGCCGTTTCTGCTGCAGCCCCCCCACCCCAGAGCCCGATCCGGGGCCCTCCGGCACCTTCCCGGGAGGATTCGATGCCCAGATCCGAATTCACCTGCCCAGGGGGGGCACCGGGAGGGATGCAAAGCTCACGGGGAGCATCACAGCCCCCCCCAGTCCAGAAGGGGAGATGGGAGAGACGTCTGGACTAGCACTGGCTAGAAAACATTGAAGAAATCAAAATTTAAAAAAAAAAAAAAAAAAAAAAAAAAAAAAAAGAGTGTGGGGAGAAATGAACAATACACAAAAACAAACAAAAACCCCATGATTCCTGCCTAAAATTCATAAAATTCAAGCTTCCGTGTTTTTGTTTTTTTTTTTTTTTTTAACTTTTTATTCTCGAAGTGCAACGACTTCGGAGGGTCTGGTGTCAGGGCATGTCACAGAACCTAATTAGCATCGTTCCTCCCATCGGACACCTGGCGGCTTTTATTACTCCATGAAATATAACTTGGATTCTGCCTATTTTTTTTTTTTAAATATATATATATATATACACATTTTTCTTACAAAAATAAATTTAGGATTTTTTTTTTTTAATAATATTTTTTTTTTCCGTAGAAGTTGGTTTTGACTTGTAAACATGTTTTGCTTTTGCTTTTTAAATTAAGATAAAGTGATCTCAAAGTACCCGTTCCATCGCAAAGTGCTAAGACTTCTTTGTTTGTTTTTTTTTTTTTATTATTTTTTTATCATGTTTTTTTTTTTTATTTTTTATTGCTTTTTCTGCATTAAATAAACATCCATCTCTCCCCCACCCCCACCACTCAGCCCTCCCCCCCAGCACACACTCCCCTCTCACTCCCTCTCCAAAATACATTCGGCCAAACCTGCTCTTGCTTTGAAAGTAAAAACAAAACACCAAAAGGAAAAAAAAAAAAACAAAAAAACAACAACAAAAAAAAGGAAAAAAAAAAACAAAAAAAAGGAAGAGAATCTAAAAAGTGCTTTCAAAATAAAAGGGCTTAAAATCTCTTTTTTCATTTAAAAATGTGCATTTAGAAAACAGGTGACCCGCTGAAAGGTGCCTTTTCTTATCAACCTCTGCTAACCCGAGGGTTATATACCCGCCTCTAGAGCCATATAGCATCTATATATATATATATATATATATATATATTTCGGGAATGGGGGCTGGGGGAGCTGGGGCTGCCCCAGCTTGCCTCCCCCTCAGCCCAGAAGGCCTCCTGCCCCTTTACGGGAGACCTCAAATAACCTTTTTTAAAAGGAATATGCCATTTTTAAGCGCTTTTGGGGCGTGTAGGAACGCTGCCGCGCTGACCCAGTGCCTGAAATATACTGGGGGGGGGGGGGGGGGGGGGGGGGAGCTTCACCCCCTCCCGGCCCCACATTGTGCCGGGGCAGCGGGTGCTGGGAAGGGGCCGGGGGGCTCCGTGCTGTGCCGGATCTGTCCCAGCTCCTTCCCAGGACCGGCCGGGCAGCCCGGGACGGGGACGGACGCGGGGACAGACGGACGCGCCCGGCGTTACCCGCCGGTGGTGGCACTGGCTGAGCCGGTGTCCCCGGCCCCCGGTGTCCCCGGCCCCCGGGTGCCCGACACCCGCTGCCGACAGCAACCCTGCAACATCCTGGTTGTCCACTCACACAATTATTTTTTTTTGTTGTTGTTGTTGTTAGGCAATTTTAGGCAATTTTTCTACACTGAAGCCGCTGCCATCGCCTCCCCCCTCTCTGGCCCATCCGGCTTCACAGCAGGGCTGGTGGGAGGGACCCACCCCACCCCCCCCTCCTTACCCCAAAAAACTGACCCCCATCTCCCTGGAAGGAGCCGTCTCGGCCCCGGGACGCAGCAATGACCGAGCATCTCACGCCGCTGGAGCTTTAACTTCCCAAAAAGCGGCGGGGGGAAGGCTGGCCCCGCTCCCCCGGCCCCCCGAGGCACCGTGTACCGCCCGCCCTGAAAGAGCCCTTCCACTCCTACCACCTTTTTTTTTCTATTTTTGCTTTTTTTTTTTTTTTCTTAAATAGATCTCTCTCTCTGAAATAGGTTTTTTGTTTTTTGTTTTTTGTTTTTTTTTTTAATGTGTGCTTGGACACAAAATAAAGCTTTGGATTTACATGGAAGCTCTTTTCCATGTGACAGAGCCACTTTCCATCCCCACCCCGTGCTTCCTAGCATCTGCCTTTCCAAGAAAAGGTCCTTGGCTACTGAGGGATCCTTGGGGAAGCCCTGCTTACGATGGGAAGATTGGAAACATAATATATATATATATTTTTTTCTGTTTTTTTTTTAAAAAAAGGGAGAGAAACATCTTTAAAGAGAAAAATCGGAGGAAAAGTACTAACTAGATTTTGTGACACTTTGTTTTTTGGTTTAGGAGAGTCCTTGCGTGTTACCCTCAGACGACCCTCCTGCTACATTCAATCCTGATGCTTCATTATTTGAATTATCCTCAAAGTGCTGCTGCTCCTGGCCGTTCCTCTGCAGGGTGTCCTCTGATTCTTGACTCTCCCCACCGGCTTGAAAACTTCCATCTTCGGGGTTCCCCGTGGGGGTGGTAGGCAGACCCCCGGCATCTCTCACCCGGGGTTTACGGCCCCTCCTGGATGGAATACCGTTGCATCCATCTTTTTTAAGGTGCCTGTGCAAGTGGTCGGAGCGGACGAAAGTCTTGAAGCAGCTGTCGCACTGGTAGGGCCGCAGGCCGGTGTGGACGCGCATGTGGTTCTTCAAGTCGTAGTTGTGAGCGAAGGCGGCGCCGCACTGCTGGCACAAGTACGGCTTCTCCCCCGTGTGCTTCCGCATGTGAACCTTCAGCTTGTCCTGCCTGCGAGGGAGAGAGAGGACAGGGAAGGGGGGGGACGTCAGCCTGGGGGGGGTCTGCCTGAGTCCGTGCGCCCGGTACGGGGCTGAGCATCACCCGGTACGGGGCTGAGCATCACGCGGTACGGGGCTGAGCATCACCCAGTACGGGACTGAGCATCACCTGGTACGGGGCTGAGCATCACCCGGTACGGGGCTGAGCATCATTATGGGGCTGAGCATCATTATGGGGCTGAGCATCACCTGGTACGGGGCTGAGAATCACCCGGTACGGGGCTGAGCATCACCTGGTACGGGGCTGAGCATCATTATGGGGCTGAGCATCATTATGGGGCTGAGCATCACCTGGTACGGGGCTGAGCATCACCCAGTACGGGGCTGAGCATCATTATGGGGCTGAGCATCACCTGGTACGGGGCTGAGCATCATTATGGGGCTGAGCATCACCCGGTACGGGGCTGAGCATCACCCAGTACGGGGCTGAGCATCATTATGGGGCTGAGCATCACCTGGTACGGGGCTGAGAATCACCCGGTACGGGGCTGAGCATCACCTGGTACGGGGCTGAGCATCATTATGGGGCTGAGCATCACCTGGTACGGGGCTGAGAATCACCTGGTACGGGGCTGAGCATCACCTGGTACGGGGCTGAGAATCACCCGGTACGGGGCTGAGCATCATTATGGGGCTGAGCATCATTATGGGGCTGAGCATCACCTGGTACGGGGCTGAGCATCATTATGGGGCTGAGCATCACCCGGTACGGGGCTGAGCATCACCTGGTACGGGGCTGAGCATCACCCGGTACAGGACTGAGCATCACCTGGTACGGGGCTGAGCATCACCCGGTACAGGACTGAGCATCACCTGGTACGGGGCTGAGCATCACCCGGTACGGGGCTGAGCATCACCCGGTATGGGGCTGAGCATCACCCGGTACGGGGCTGAGCATCACCTGGTACGGGGCTGAGCATCACCCGGTACGGGGCTGAGCATCACCTGGTACGGGGCTGAGCATCACCCGGTACAGGACTGAGCATCACCTGGTACGGGGCTGAGCATCACCCGGTACGGGGCTGAGCATCACCCGGTACGGGGCTGAGCATCATTATGGGGATGAGCATCATTATGGGGATGAGCATCACCCAATATGGTGCTGAGCAGTGGCACGGGGCTGAGCACCACTTGGTACAGGGCTGAGCATCACCTGGTATGGGGCTGAGCATCATTATGGGGCTGAGCATCACCCAGTACGGGGCTGAGCATCACCCAATATGGGGCTGAGCATCACCTGGTATGGGGCTGAGCATCATTATGGGGCTGAGCATCACTCAATATGGTGCTGAGCAGCGGCACGGGGCTGAGCATCACCCGGTACGGGGCTGAGCATCACCCAGTAAGGGGCTGAGCATCACTCAATATGGGGCTGAGCAGTGGCATGGGGCTGAGCATCACCTGGTACGGGGCTGAGCATCACTCAGTACAGGGCTGAGCATCACCCGGTACGGGACTGAGCATCACCTGGTACAGGGCTGAGCATCACTCAGTACAGGGCTGAGCATCACCTGGTACAGGGCTGAGCATCCCTTGATATGGGGCCGAGTAGCAGCACAGGGCTGAGCATCACCCAGTATGGGGCTGAGCACCGTTACAGGGCACAGCATCACCCAGTGCAGGGCTGAGCATCGCCCAGTAGGGTGTGAGCATCACCCAATACAGGGCTGAGCATCACCCAGTACAGGGCTGAGCACCAGTGCAGGGCTGAGCACCACCCAGTAGGGTGTGAGCATCACCCAATACAGGGCTGAGCATCGCCCAGTACAGGGCTGAGCACCAGTGCAGGGCTGAGCATCGCCCAGCCCGGGGCCGGCTGGCTCCCGGCAGGGCCTGCGCAGCCGCAGCTCGCCAGAGCCAGGGGAGGGCAGTTGCAGCAGCCGGGCCGGGGGCCAACGAGGCCACGTGAGCCGCAGCATCTCACTTCTTCCTGGAGGAAAAAAAAAAAATCAGGCACGAAGCGCGTGGCGAGGCAGCGCCGGCAGCGAAGGAGAACCAGCCCTGCCCGGGTGGAGGGTGAGGGAACCATCCCTCTCTGCTCTCCTGCTGCAGCACAGCCACCGCTGCCCTCACCCCCGGGGGGAACTGCTGGCAGCACGAGGCCCCCGAAAGTCCTAAACCTTATAAGGGGAGGATCAAAACACCGAGGACGCGTCCACCTCTGGTTCTAACGCAGCACCCGAAGGGGCCGGGAAGGTGGGCCTCGCTCAGAACAGCACGGTAGGCAGCAGCACATCAAAACGGCTTTTTTGAAGTACATTTTTATAATTTACAAAATCTGATAAATATTTACACTTTTTGTAAAACCACTCTGCCTTTCTTTTAGAAGATTATTTGTGTGTCATCGCCGCTCCTCCCCCCTGCGAATGCAGAGGAACCAGGAAGTACATGTGAGCAAAAATCGGCGTTAACCGCCGGGCTCTGGTCCCCACCCCGGGACGGGGTGGCAGGGACACACCCCGTGCAAAACAGTCCCGGCTCTTCCTCCTGCCTTTCTCCCAAAAGCACCTTCAAGAGCAGGGACTGCTTCTCTCTAAGGAGGCTCCCCATGCCCAGCCTTCCCCAGCCTACTGCGATACACGGCATTTTTAATGGTACGGGGAAAGCTCTTTTCAAGAAATGCACTGTCACCGGACAGGATGAGGATGGGGAAGAAAACCATGGTGAAGGAATGTAAAAGAACAATAAAATCAGGGGAGAAATAAGGACGATGGAGTGCTTGGTCAGGTTTGCACCCGTTTTTTTTATACTGGGAGCTCTGAGATAGGGCTTCGAGCACAGCCCAGGTGCTGGGCAAAAAGCAGCAAAAAGCAACTCATCGACACCACCGCCGAAACCAACCCAGAGCAGATGAGACCCGGGCCGGCAGCTTGAGTTCGTTATGCTCTGCCGTACCCCGGGGCAGGCCGTGCTGCGGGCACGAGGCTGGTGCACCCCTGGGGAGCTGGGAACCAGCTGTGATTTCGAGCAGCCGCAGCCTCGTGGAAGAATTTCCACGACCCGTGCGCACGCCCGAGTCGAGCTCTGCGGCCGCTGTGGGCCGGGACGCGCCACGGGGCGCAGCGAGGCCGAGAGCGGCTCCCTGTCCCCATCCGGGCTCCACCGTGCCCGCGTCAGCTGGGGAAAGAAGCAGGGGGATGTATTTTGGCTGGAAAATAGCACGGCCCTGGTATATTAAAGAAAGGGCCTTGTTTATAGGGGCTGGGAGACAGTTTCCACCCTGCTCTCTGCAGTGCCAGATCACAGGGAACAGGTCCCCATCCGAAACCCACAGGAGGGGGGCGAGGTTGAAAAGCGCTGTGGTTGCACGGCCCCACCGACCTCCTCCTCCCCATACCCCCCCCCCCCCAAAAAAGCCCCCCCTCATCTCCCACTCGCCGCCAGGGACCCCGCACGGCCTTTCCGCATCCTCCGGCTCCCGGCCGGGACCTTGGATGACTCAGGTGGGGTCGGTCGGATTCTGCGCAGGGGTGTGGGTGCAGGGGTGTGGGTGCAGCAGCTGGGCCCCCCCCCCCCCCCCCCAGGCCCACACGGGGCAGATCCAGCGTGGGGCTGGGAGGTGCCGCGTGGCAGAGCCCGGCCGGGTGCTGGGGGAGCGGCAGCGGGCTGGCATCCTGCCCCCGCCATTATCTGCATTCCTCAGCTACACCAACGTGGGGCTGGGTGCGGCCGCGGCCATGGGGAGGGGGCTGGCAGCACGGTGGGGGGAGGACACGGCCTCCTGCCCACGTCCCAGCCCCATCGGCTTCACCAGCAGCCCCATGGACAACCCCCCCACACCCCCTCCCCGAAGGAAGAGGCTCTCGGGAAGGGCCGGCCCCGGCAGTGAAGCGATCAGCACTGGTGAAAGTGGGAATATTTCAGCAGGCAGCGTGGCAACTCTGCCAGGCAGCCCACGCAGTCCCTCAGCAGGGACTGGGGGGGGACCGGGGTGAGACCCCCGCCCGGGCTCGGCCATCACAGCCACAGAGACCAAGGAGAGGAGGCGGCGCTGCGACGCGTGGACTGGAGTGAACCGGAGGAATCCAAACAATATCCCCTTTCTTCAGCGTTCCCGCGGCGGAGGGAAGGAGCGGAGCAACCCTGATTAGAAACAGCGCCGAGGCGAACGCCCCCGGGGAGCTGAGCCGAGGCACCGGGGTTTGTGTGTTGTTTTGGGGCAGCCATCGCTCAGCCCACCATGGTTCGCCGAGAGAGGACACGAGCGACGTGGGGTTTCAGCCTCTTCCCGACCCGGTTACCAGCTTCGGGTCACCCCGTGGAGCCATTTCTAAACGACTCTTCAACTCTCGCCTCAATCCCGGGCTCCTCGGCCGCGATGGAAATACCAAGGGCCGCAGCTCCGTTTCATCAACCGCGTTATTTGGCCTCCGCGGAAGCCCGGGTCTGGCCAGGTTTCCAGCAGAGCTCAGCAATTCAGGACACTGGGATGGTGTGGCACTGGATATCAAGACAAGCCCCTGGAGATACCTCAAGAGTCAGACACCCAAATTGCTCGTCTCTCTGGAAAACCCTGGCCTTCGTAACCAACTTGCCTGTTAAGATGGAAATTAGTTGAGCAGGCAAGATAAAATTGCACAAGACCGGCCCCGCGACGGCCCCCGGGGAAAGCCAAGAGCCATTTTCTGTGACAGTCCCCTCTGCTCCAGCGTCCGCCCGGCTCCTTACCTGGTGAATCGGACTTTGCAGATGTTGCACTCGTAGGGCTTCTCCCCGGTGTGGGTGCGGATGTGGCGCGGCAGCTTGCCAGCCCCCTGGATCACCTTCTCGCAGATGGGGCACTTTTGGAATGCTTTTGCCCTGATCTTCTTCTCCACCTTCTGGGACCAGGACGGATAGACGTCGCCCTCGTTCGAACTGCCGAAATATTTCAAGTAATAATCCATGACCCCATCGTCATCCTTTCGGTCGTCCTCCCCGAGCTGCTGTCTCCCCACGGAATTCATCATTTGCTGCAGCAGGGCGCTGGCAGCCAAGCCATCCACCTCTCTCGCATCATCCTCCGTGTCCGCTCCAGCAGGAACGAAACTGGGGGAGTCGCCGGCTTCCTGCTGGTCCAGAGGTCCCCCCGGGGTCCCCTCCTCTTCTCCTGGTGTGGGCAGGCCACGGCCGCTGTAATGTCCGTTCTGAGAAGGTGAAAACAAGGAGCCAGGAGCCGCCTCCTCCTCCTCTCTGTCCAGCCACATGGCTGGGTTGCTGTCAGGATCACAGTCATTCGCCTTTGGTCTTTCGTTTAGGGGGGCTTGCGAGTAGAAGTCCATGCCATTGCAGTCCGGCTCCTCCTCCTCCTCTTGGCCTCGGAAGTTCAGTCTCTGAAGGTCTCTCAACTCTGGGTTGGTCCACGGAAAGCTGCCTTGGTGGCCGTTGACGGGGTTGCTCTGGAAGAACTCCAGGTACTCTTTTGCTCTGAGATGGTTCCTCTGATCAATTTGATCTACTGTATCCATCTGGTCATTTTTGGCCAGAATCTTCCTGTCCAGGAGATCCGTGCAAACATCCCTTACCGCCGGGATCTCCAGCAGTGTGGCGGCATTGAGGATGTCATTGACGTTTGAAGTGCTGACAGTAAGGGTCGCGGTGTAAGCGAACTCCAGCAGAGCCGACAAGGCGTCCGCACTCACAAAGTCTATCTCATACACGTTTTGCTGGTCCACCACTAACCCTGAGGTGAAGAGCTTCTTGAAGTACTGGCTGCACGCCGCCAGGACGGAGCGGTGGGTGGGGAACTCCTGGCCTTCCACCAAGATGACCACGTCGCACAACAGCCCGTTGTTTCTCTGCTCATTCAGGCTGCTGAGGATGTCGCTGCTGTGATCGGGGAACGGGATCCCTATGGGGCCGTCCACGCCACCCGCCATCTTCGATGCAAAAGGCTACGAGAGAAGAAGGAAAGCGCAGTGAGTCACAGGGGCCTTGGCTGCTCGGAGGCATCACGTCGCACGGGCAGAACTCCCAACGCTCAGCAGGTACCTGCCCGCTGATGCCAGCGTGCTCTGCAGCCAGCACGAGCTACCCACCTCTCCACATCACCCGGCATCTAAGCCATGCCTTCAGCAGCGGGTGAGGACAGACCCGTGCTTACCTTCGCTCTGGGGAGGAGAAACACCGCCCAGGTGCTCTCAAGCTCCAGTCGGGAAGAACAGCTGAATTAGCACGGATCCAGGCCAGAGCTAGCAAGCCTTGGCAAAGACCAGGGTTAATACAGCCAGACAGCATCTGGATTGAGCTGGCAGGCGTGCCCAGCGTTGGGCTACAGTGGCTTGAGCTCACCAGTGGGCCCCAGTCCACCCCTGGGAGTACTTCCCAATCCCACCACTTCTACTGGAAGGGTCTCCTGCTCATTCAGCCTCGCTCTGCCCAGCTGAACTCCTGATACAACCACGTCATTGCTGGGAAAACCGTTTCCACCACTTGTCCCCAGGGTCTGCAGACACTCTCATGGAGATGCAGGTGGGGTGCTGGCAGCGAGCATCCTTTGGGAAGGGCACAGCGGCAAGCTCAGCGCTCGAGGGCACCGGTGTGCAGGAGCAGGGGTGCCCCAACCACCCCAGCCTGCTGCTAAGGGCGTTTCACAAAGAGCCGAGCTTAAACACTTAAACCCAAGGCACTCGCTGCACCTTCCCCAGGAACAGGAGCCTCTGGGGTGACCGGAGAGGAAACGACACTGGTCTCCCAAAGCGCCGGCCTGGCACCGGCCCCTCGCCCTTTGGAAAGGCTTCAGCAGATGCAGCAGTTCCTTCCACTGCCGATGGTTTGTTTGGGAAAAAAAAAAAAAAAAATAAATAAGTCACTCCTGAGGCGCTAGCACAGCAGAAACAGATCCACTTGACTTTACATACATCCTCTCTTCAGAGGCTGAAAAAGCCGGAGCGAACCGAGCAGCTCCGTTGGGAAGGGATCCCCCTTCCCCGGGAGAGGGGCGCCGGGGCAAACGCAGGCGAGAGCGGAGCCTGCCGGGCTTCACCGCGCTGCCTGCCCCGAACCAGCCCCTTAAATTCTACCAGGCCCAGCCTTCTGATCCCCAAAACTGGGAATAACGTTTCCCTCCTCCGTCTCAATCAGCAAAGCCCTCTACTCCTTGCCGCATAGACACTGTCTGCCTATAAATTAATGTATTTCCCCCTCCCTGCCCCAAACACTGGATCCTTCGGGGCTAACGCAACCCACAGTGTATCCACACACAAATAATTTGCTTCACAGAGCACCTTGGCACAAGCCTAAGTATCAAAGGCCCCAGTTTACAGATGGGGAAACTGAGGCACGGGGGGAAGTGGCCTGTCCCACGCAGCGGGGAGGTGGGGACGGATGAGTCAGGAGCACATCCAGAACAGAAGTAATTATACAGGAAGCAACTCCCAGCGCCGCGTTATAGCACGGGGAGCTAGCAACCAGGTTGCAAAACAACGCTTGCTTCCCGACACATGCACCCACCCCCATTCTGGGCTTGCTAGCAGGCTTCTCAGTAGTTCTTCATATTTTCTTATTTTTAAAAAGCTTCGTTAATCCGAGGGGAGGGGGGGAAGTAATTTCTACACTTTCTTGTTTTATACAAAGAAAACACAGAAGAGGGTTCTGAGTCTGTGAAGCACCAATCTGAAGCAAACCCCTTGATATTAAACAACAGTAATGCACAAACCAGCCTTAAGCTCACTGTGCCAGTGTGATGGGGGGGTCAGGGTGGGGGGGAAGAACCAGAAGAGCCGGGCTGGATGCACAGGGCTGATGGTACAAGCCCTGCTGCCAAGACCAAACACTGAAGCAAGGCGGCTTCCCAGGGCGCTGGGAGCAAAGGCACCAACTCCAGAGCCCCTCCTGAGCTCCTGCAGTTGCAGGATTTGAACTTGAAGCCATTATTTCATAGTGGTTTTTTTTTAAAAAATAAGGGGTTCTCGCTAGGAAGGAAAAGGCCGTTTGATGGCTGAGCACAGCTTGGGGACCAGCGCCGGCTCCAGGTGTGACCTTGGGCAAGGTCACCACATCTCTGCATCCGCAGGGGGTCTGAGGGACCCCCCCCCCCCGGATCCCCAAACTGCTGGGCTACAACAAGGGGGGGGGGGCCTCCGCATCGCTTGCCCCATTCCCACCAGGGCTGCCCCAGAGCTCCCTGAACCCCCCCCCGATCTGAGCCACCGTGGCACATCGCTCCCCTTAAAAGCGGGTCCGATACCTCTGCCCACCCCCCAGCGCCTCCTGGCCCTACAAATGACATTGGAGTCTGTCCCCCCCACACACTTTCCCCTCTAGATTAGATGCTTTACACCAAGCTTTTTGCCCCCTCCTCCCAAAGAGAATTTGAGCTGCGTGAAACATTTTGAAGCTTCGGGCGAGAGTCTTCTGGGCAGCCAAGCTTCGTCACCCACACAACCCGGGCTTTGTCGGCTGCGGTGCCCGACTCCGGGGACCAAGGGGACCAGGGGGAGCAAGTCAGGCCGTGCAGGCAAGGTCACACACCCCCCCCCCAGCCAGGGGGCTGGGACAAGCAGCCGGACAGTGTGGGAACGGCTGCAGGGTCATGAGACTGCCGAGGGCTGGCATGGAAAGTTGTACAACTTCGCAACTCATTCTCCTCGCACAACACGCCCTTTGTGTCCCTCATCTGCGGTGGCAGAAAACATCGAGGGGGCAACAGGCTGCCCCAAGCCCCCCAGGAATAGCCACGGCTAGAGACCACCGGGCTCCTTCCCCGAGCGCTGCTGCCCAGCCCTTAAAAATCAGACCCCGTTCCCTTTTCAGGGGGCTGAACAGCCGGAGTATTGAAGCCTGCGCAAGGCTGGGTGGCTCAGGGGATTAGTAACAAGAGATGGAGCCTTCCACCTTTACAGGTTCAAAAAAAAAAAAAAAAAAAAAAAAAAAATCCCACCAGGAGCAGGCACAGGGAGGGCACATGGCCGTATCGGTGAATTGGGTGAAATCCGCTTGGAAAGGTCCCGACGGCCAGGTGACATGTCACAAAAGCCGCTGGCACGACCGCCAGCTAGTCCCCTCCTTGGCAAGAATAAGGTCTGAATGGGCCACCAAGGGGGAGCTTCAACTACTGACCTAAATTTCCCAGGCAGCTCTTTTCTCTCTCTACACCCCAAGACCGCCAAAAAGGCATTACACACTTCTTGTCCCAGACTGCGCGTCTCTGCAGGGTTGCAAAGATGCCACATTTCACCCCAAAGTGGCTGCGTTTGAGAAGTTAGGAAATAGCCCTTGCATAGAACTACTAGCAGCTGAGGGGACACCGTCAACTTAAAATATGGTCTATTTGAAAGAGAGAGTTTACAACAATACCAGAGCTCTGGAATTTATTTACAAACCTTATTTACAAACCTGGCGTAACACAACGCACATCCCTAACTATTCAGCTAACTCTATTTTCATCGGTGCTGAGCCCGCTCTGCATTTTCAAAATACCAACGCAACCAAGCTTCAGCTATCCACGGCTCCCCAGGTCAGCCCGATATAAAGGCAGCCCGATTCCAGGCAGGAAAAAAAAATGTACATTTTCTGGGTGAGAAGTGCTGCTGAACACCGTGCGAGCGAGGGAAGCCCTCCACCTCCCCGAGACGCTGCTCACGGCAATCTCGGCTGTTCCACATTCGACTGGTTTCGCACCGAGGCCGACTGTAGTTTGATGCTGCTCCTCAACACTAAAAGGTTATTTTCTTAAGCTCAAGTTATCAACTCGCTCCTTTCAGACCTACCAGACGAACTGCAAAAGAGCAGAACAGAGCGTTAACTGAAACCCCTGAGCTTGCACTTTACTCACCTCGAGTCCAGCGGGATGTCACCCAATCGCTTTCCTACAGGAGTTCTGGAATTTGACATTTACATTCAAATGAGACGACCACATTAAGATGGGATCAGAACCAAAAGTGCTGACAAAACAGTGCTTAATTACTAGTTTTCCACATAACCTCAGTGGGGTGGTTTGGTTTGTTGGTTTTTTTTTTTTGTGTTTTTTTTTTTTTTTTTCCTTCTCCCTTGTGCTTTTGCTTCTTCGCATATTTCTTTAAAATTTAGCTGGGTGAACAGAGGAACCTGAGCAGCTTACGAGGGCTCTGAAATATGCAGGTATCGGGTGTAAGAGCTAAGTCACATCTGGTTAGCCGGGTAACAGCGAATGTTTTCAATGTGCTCTTCATCCGGAAAAGATCCCAAATCGCTTTACAAAGGCAGGGCTCTCCTCTCCCGCAGAGGTGCCACCCACTCCAGCAGCACAGATGAAAAGCTTGAGCAACACTACGCACCTGCTCAGGGCAGAAAGGGAAAATTATCATCGCCTTTTCCACCAAGCACGAGGCGAAATGGCTTTAGGGCACTGCTACAATCCACAGTGCGAGGTTTCCCAGGAATAACTGCGTTTTGGGCTACAGTATGTGGTTATTCGGCTGCTCAAGGTACCCAAGAAACAGAGATCACAAATTGCTCTGCCCAGTTTCTTAGAGGAAATGCACATATGACAGTGTCAGGGCAGATTTTGCAGCAGCGCTGCTGTGTGCTAAAAAAGAACTATTAAAATAATGTTGTTATATAAAAAAAAAAAAAAAAAAAAAAGAAAAAACCTAAGTCAGTGGTTTGCTGCCCAAGGCCCAAACATTATCCTAGCCCTCACTCACCACTGACTGGAGAAATGGGCATTTTTTCCCTATGAATAGCTCACCCCAATTATAGGTCACACAATGCAAGTCCTTGTCTCTTCACTTTATACTTAGGGAGCGATCATCCCAGTTCCCCCCTTTCTTCTTCCAGCTGCATGGACACATCTGCAAGCCTGGAGCCCTCAAGATAAAAATGCAGCTCTCCGGCCGTTGGGAGCATGAGCCATCATCTCTGCTGACACCAAGCTCTGCAACATCCCAGGGACAAGCCCAAGCAGGTCTCCCTC